GCTATTTGCTATCTCTTATTGGTTAATGCTTTCTTTTATTTGGTACCTTTAGTTTTTTCCCTTTCAAATTCACCTTTAATTTCAACAAAAATTTAAAGTCAATTAATTATTTCCTCTTTTTTTTCGCATATATTTTTTGAATAAAATATTTGAAATTTAAGAAAAGTAGAAGTATTTGTTTTGGTGTAGAATTTTTGCCAATAATTCAGTAAGTTTTACATTGGTAACAGATAGTTAATTAATTGAAAATTTCTTTTTCTTTTTCTATTTAAGATGTGGAAAAAATCTGGTGCATGGTTTTACAAAGAAGTACCAGAATATATAAAACCAGTTGAAGATCCGGAACTACATTCACCATTATCGTGTTATCCGAAAACTTCCTGGCAACATTATAGGAAACCAGAAACATCGCGGAAGGAGCAATACAGGTTAATAGTTAATTAGCATCTTTTTTAATTTTTTTGAAATTTAATTCCGTGATTAAATTTTTCGGTTTTTGAGATTTAAAAAGTAATTTAGGACAATAAATACATAAATCATTTTAATGTCACTTGTTTAATATATCGATATTATTGCCGTACACTTGCTTATCCTATTCAATTTGAATGATACTATATCCATCAAAGTTGACAAATCAAATTTTTGCGAAAAATTGATTGATATGTCGTTTTACGCTATATCGTTACAGCTCCACAATATCCCACCGTAATCGGATAAATCCATCTTGGTTACATCAAAAAGTACGTCTATCGTTGAGTAATGGTTATGGTTCAGAAGATGAAAATACCGATAATTCAGCATCTGAAGAAACGGAAGTATTTTTGGAAGAAAATCTTCGAGGAGCGCCAACCATTACATCAAACCGGCATATCCGAATCCAAAAACGGAAAGAAGGACAGGATGTAACACCCCTTCTTCATAGGTTTACAGTTGGAAGTCGAAATCGAATTACTGATATTGGTGCAGTAATGCTACGTTCTTTTTTTTCAATAGCAATAACAAATTTATTTTTAAGAATTTTGATTTACCGTTTTTATTCCAACAAGTTTGAAAATTAAAAAATTAAAAAAAATGTGTTGACTTTAGCTCTTCATGAGCATAGAAATTCCACTTTTTGGTTTGTTCATAATTTCATCTTTTTTAGCAACAATTTATAACGTATCTTCCTTGGCTACCAATTTTACTTTTGAATTTCAATCCTGAAACTGATGGATTATTTACTTTAGAACTATTAATTCCGGAAGTTTCCCTCTAAACCATTGACGGTTAATGCATCTTTAATAGTGTAGATTGATTTCTGGTATATCTTGATTAATTTGAAGAGGGAAATGAATCACATCATGTAACGCCATCAACATCACCAAGGCATTCACCTTCATCATATGGTGATGATTTATCGCAGAATCAGTCATCAATTCTAGCATCAGAATCCATCGATTCTGGAGGTATCAGTGCTAACTGATTAATAATTTCCTAATCAAGTAACAGTGCTAGGATAATGTGAAGAGGGATATCACAAATATTCGGAGATAATCTATTAGAGTTAATCCGACTTTATGAATATTGTTCGGAAGGATGGAAAGTTCTGAAATTGTTGTTTACTGGAAGAAGTCGGACCGATCATTCGGTTCTAAACGATTATATAGTTTTTGGCAACTGAGATCCCCAAAAAATTAGGTCTCATTTCAGTTGTACCAAGTGATCATTCAGTGCGAGTATCAAAAATTCCCGCTTCAGCTGATGCCATGAATCCGATTACAACGATGATCGAACATGATGAAAGTTGCAAATATATCAAATATTCAAATTGTTCTCAAATTTCCTCGTCATCATCTGGAATCCAGAAAATATGGCCATCATCCGAAATGCATTCCATTTTGGATCAGGAAATTCCATCACAAATAGATGACGAAAAATGCCTCTTTTCTGCACAACAAACAAATAAAAGTTCGAAAAAAGCTTCCGGAAGTAAAGAAATTCTATTGGAAAATCAACTGAGAAAAATATTTCCTTTAATAATGTCCACCAATGAATCATTACCGATGGGATCACAATATAGTCAAGAGGATCGGTCTTTGGCATTCTCATCAAGTCCAGCTGGAACGACGATAATGGCAGAATTGCCGAAACAACAAGTCCCGAATCTGGAAAGTGCTACCAGTTCCGCATCATCTACTTCATCGGCTCAAAAATCTGTCATATCTCTTGAAAATCTTTCAGCAAATCTAAAAGAAAATAAAACGGTTAATATTTCGAATATCGGTTTTTTACAATTTTTTTAAAAAACTTCAATCTTCTGAATAGATTTTCTGTTCGCACTTTAGAATTTAAATTTTGAAGGTAATATTAGAGTTAGCATCAAAAATTTCTTCAACTTTATAAAGCCCTATCGACTGTCACGCATTTTAAAAAACGTAATTTTTTGACTAAATTATGCAATGGGCCAATTCGGTCATCATTATTGTGTTCAAATTAATTAATCCGAATGTCTGTCAAACAAAGTAATTGGCGTAAATGTCATTAAAAACAATAACATATGATTGGAAGGTATTAATACATTTAATTTTTCTTCATGTTTAGAAGGAAATAACACCTTTTGGCAAGCTTGCTTTGGATCGTAAAAGTAAGTTTTTCCTTTATTTTATTTCTTTATGTGTTGCATAAAACCGTATGATTTTTATGGCAAATCTCGTCTATGCACTTTGCGCCATTTAAAAGAAAAAAAATTTTTACTTTTTTTCAACTTGTTAAAGATCTGAAAAGTTAAAAGTTCTTATGTGTAGTCATCTAGTTAGAAATAATTTCAGGAAACATGAAGATAATAATGATATCAAGAAATAGACATTATAACAGTTAATTTTGTTCTAATCTTATCCTTTTTTAATTTAAGAGGTACAAATGTGGCAACATAAATCAGGAATGGCAATGCATTTACCGATCAAAGGACTGTCAACCACCCGATCAGCGATTTGCTTGCAGTGTTCAGTTGCTACTGAACCGATTCTAAGGTGTCAGGCAGTACGCCATGCTATTTCCGGCAATGATATCATTAGTTTGCAGAATTCTGATACTGGTGAATGTTACTTACCGTTTCATTGCTTTCCCTCATTCTGTTTATATACCTATCATTCTTATCATTAACATTCATATCACTATGCACTACTATAGTTGAGAAGATATTACGTTTAGAAACTATTAAAATCTTTCTTTTTCAAAAAATCTCTTTCCTTTTTTTTTAATTAAAAATTGCTTCTAAAACGTATATCATTTTAAATAAACAATTCCTTTAATTCTGAACTAATAGAAATGAATTTATCAATAAAAATATTTCGCATATTTCTTTATCCATCGTAAGATATAAATGTTAAAAATATATTTAATTATTTCTGTTTTGCTACTAACAGAATTTTAAAAAGCTGATATAGGAAATTTCGGAATTCTAATTTTAAAAAGTTTTGTCATTTGATAAGTGCAAATTTATTTCCGAAAATTAATGGTTCAATCAATACGATGTAAATAAAGCTTTAAGAAACAAAGAAAAAGGCTAGTAGATCAGAATGTATTGCGTTAATTAATTAATTAATCATGGCACTCAATTTTTAAATTAGCTACAAGTTAGATCCATATATGATACATGCAAATTTATTATATCATCAGTGATCAGAGAATGCTGCAATGAGGAGTAAACAAATGCAAGATGATCCAGAATTTAAATTTTAAATTTGAAATAAACTTCCGAACTAAAAAATCTCAAGTCATCTTTTAGATATACGTGGATCAATTCAATTTACGCTTCGGTATTCTGCGCAACAAATGAAACTCTGTGTTCGGCTTACCGGTGCTAAAGTATGCATACTCATATAAATTTCAACAATAACCATTGGCATGAAATGGAATTAAGTTCAAATTAAAATATTGTTTTAGATTGCAATGTACGATGTCTGGCCTAATTTAATTTTTCAGAATCTTCTTGCAATGGATAAAAACGGGTTTTCCGATCCTTATGTGAAATTATATTTGATTCCTGGAGCTTCCAAAGTAATAATTCTTTGAAATCATTTTAGTTTATAATCCAATCACTGTATTATGCTAATTATCTTAATATCTATCGCTTATAGAACTAGCAATGCTTAACGAAAATTAAATTTTTGTAAATTTCAATCATGAAAAATTATCATTTAGGCGACTAAAATGGTTAGTAAAACGATCGAAAAAACATTGAATCCAGTATGGAACGAGGAATTCACATATTATGGTATTACTGATGAAGATCAATTAAAGAAATCACTACGATTATTGGTACTTGATCGTGATCGGATAGGTTCGGACTTCTTAGGAGAAGTCCGTGTTCCACTCAAGAATCTGAAAAATGAAGAAGAAACATTTTACAGCTTATGCCTGGAACATGAACATGCTATTCCGGAAGTAAAATTTTGTTTCAATATTAGAAATTTCAATTTTAAAATTTTGTAAATTGGAATAGTGGAAAATTGGAATTCTTCAAGTACTAACAAATTTTTTTCCCAAGACTGATTTAATTTTTAATAAACTTAAATCAGGCAAAGGACGTGGATCTTAACATTGAACGTGGAAAAATCTGCTTAAGCTTGTTGTATAACGTACAACAAGGTTCATTGTACGTTACAATCAGACGTTGCGTAGAGCTTCTAGGCATGGATAAAACTGGATTTTCGGATCCATACGTGAAAGTGTAAGTGTCAATTTTTACTTACTTATATTTACATTAATTTAATGATCCATCGATTTTTAATGATGCTGATTTTTCAATTTTAAATTTTAAATTACGATGCTTTTTTCAAATCACCAAATATTAAGACCCGACATTCTCATCTTATATACATATATGCTGTTCCTAATCTACTCGTGATCTTTCTTCTTTCTAAACTTCTAAAAGTTTATCTAATGTCAATTTGAAGCTTTCCGATTATTTATATTTAAATTTCAACTTTTCATTTTATTCGAATTATTTCTCTTATTGTACAATTCAAGTATATTTAAAAGATTTGGTTTCGTTTTCTTTTTCAGCTCATTACTTCCTCTTACCAATAAAGCTCATAGGCAAAAGACGTCAACCAAAAAACGGACATTGAATCCGGAATTTAATGAGGCCAGTTATGTCATGCAATCAAAATCAACTTATCATTCCAAGCATTCATTCTTTACTCTTCCTTATCATCAATATGTCATTTACATGACTTGAATTTCAATTTTACAATAAAATTTCGCAACCTTTCGATAGTAAAGCTAAGTATTACATGTGGTTCTTCACGCAGTTACCAATTTGTTCTCAAATAATTATTGTATTTTTAATTTATCAACAGCAAAATCTTCATTTCATTTCAAAAAAAGTTTTTTTTTCAGACATTAACATTTGTCATACCTTTCAAAGATTTACCAAAGAAGACACTTCAAGTTGATGTTTTCGATAAAGATGTTGGGATGCATGATGATTATATTGGTAAATAAGTTCTTTCTAAATTTCAAATATCTCTTTTTCAAACGCTAACATTAGCTATACTGTCATTGATAACAGACAATAGTAATGTTTGCGTTATAATTGGTAATAAGAATTTCATATAGATAGGCCTAGAAAACTGCATTTCATTCTCTAGACAACGAACATCTCAATCTTTTGTTTGGTGGCAATTTATTTTTAATTTTTAAATTAACTCAAATATATATATATATATATATATATATATTTAATGTATTTTTTTCCTATTCAATTCTATTGCATTGTTTATTGTATCCCTTCATTCGTTTGGACCCAATACCATCATACAGTAGCTTATTTAGAATGCAAATAAAACTGTTCTAAGGTTTATGGAACCATGCTCAAATTAGAGAGAGATACACCGAAAGAGAGAAACTATCTTCTCATTGTTGTATAATGTATATAGATAGATATTAAGGAGATTATCACTTCAATTAAAAAGTTGCAAATAAAATAATACTAAATCTTCTATTATTTAAGGACTGTAAAATACGAGAAAAACTCAAGACAGCATTAATTACTCAAACTCTTCAACTAGAAGTTAAGTGTGATTCATTAGGTTAAGCATTAGTTAGCACTTAATTGTAATTTGATCGGATTCATATCTAACGTAAAACTAATTCCTAATTGGATATTAAACAACATACGTAGTCGTCTATAATATCGATTTTCCATACAAATTAAACTGTCACAGTTAGCATTTTCATATTTTCACGTTTTCAGGAAGTATCCTGTTGTCCACATCAGCGAAGGGTGAGCGTCAGCAGCAATGGAATAATTGTATTCAAAATCCAGGTTATGAGTTCGAACGATGGCATAAATTAGAAGTCATCGAATAGAGCAATTCTTTTTTCGCATATGGAATCGACGATGTAATTATCTTTTTTGTTCTGCTCAATTGGAAATTTGCGTGTATTATTATAGCATTCTCTTACCTTACCATGTTTCTTTCCTGAACATTTCTGCTCCTTTCTGCTATACTTCTCCATATTTACGTTTATTATCATCTTAATATGTCCCAGTGGTTTTTACAATACTAACAATGACAAGCTGCATGAAATTCTCCTTGAAGTGGTCAAACCAAGTGCAAAAACCTGCAGTAAAAATCGAATTTTCCCAGCATGCCTCACTAGGTTCATATATTATTGTAAGAACAGAACCCTCCTTAGATAATGCTGCTGTCTTTTCAAAGTAGGAAATTCCGGATAAGAAACCAACAGTACGATTACCGATACTTGGGAAGAAAAAATTCCACACGAAGTTTAACAGGATAGAACACGAACCACTGATCCTCCCGATAACCCTCCCAAAATTCAGCGTAGATACTAAAAGTAAAGATAGTATTAAACACTAGCATCTTAATTTCCCGTAATATTTTATTGAAAATTAAGAACACAAAAAACGAGAAGAGTGAAGAAGTGACAGCATAAAATAAAATCACACAATTCGTCCAACTAAAAAATTGAAGAAATTTAATAAAATTACTACCTAAAAATATGAGAAATACCGCTATACATCATAAAATATGGTCACCCATTAACCGCAGTGTTAACTCAACTGTTCAGTTTTCTCCGGTGTTGGATTGGAATCACATTCTAACCTAAACGTGGGTACTTTGACAAGGAATGATGTTCGATCTTCCTCTCGTTCCATAGTGAAATTCCCCCTGAAACACGACTTCAACTTTATATAACGCTATTTTGCTAGCAACTGAATCACTCAACATATTATTATTATTTGTTCTTATGTGAATATTCTCCATCTTGTTTCATTCGAGTTTGCTCTTCTCTTCTCTACCCTAAATCGAAGCATTTAGCTTAATTAGCAAACAGATTTCACTTGTTGTCTTCGACTTAATTAGTTACTGACCACAGCAACCATCACTCACAAATTACTTCACTTAACCAGCAACAAAAATGGGTAATACAGCAACGAACCATGCATATGACCCTTTGTCCACTACCACACCAACCATACCACTGTATTGAAATGCCGGCTCTTCTGGTGTCAATCGAGGGTTCTGATGAGAAAAAAAGTACCAAATTTCAATTTAGGCATTTATAAAACCTAAGCATTTTTTTTTACTTGAAGACTGCTCGAAAACTTACAATGTCATGCTTACCACATCTTAAATGATCTTTCGTCTGACTGTTAAATTGGACCGATATCTGGACAGATCGACTTTCAAGAACAGATATCACTTTCATTATTGAAGTTGTTTATGAAGCTGTCTATGAAAAATACTACAGCAATAATAAGGAACAGACATACCCCTCCAGCAACGCTTGGTATTTTCTGTTGCTGCATATTACTTAAGCTATAAACTTTCATTTCCCTCGAACGAATAATTATATGACAAGGTTTCAAGTTTTCCAGACGTATTACATAACGCCACTGAAATCACTGGCGTGAATTGTTACGTATAAGATTGTAGGCATAAATCAGTGGATTGTTAAGTACAATATGAAAAGAGAAATAATACACATAACGCGCAAAAACAAAATCAAAACTCAATTTACTAATTTTCTCGGAACTTGCTTAAAATTCAACAATTCCATTCAATAATCTTAATCGAAAACCAATTCACTCTTCCTATGCGAATGAAATTTACTTTAAAAGCTTTCCTGATTTAAAACGCTCGATTTTTATTCCTTTTTACGATAATTAGCAGCCAAAGAAACAAACCCAGTGTTTTTGTTGCCCACTAACTGTATTCAGCCCGAGGTAAAATGTTATCACAGTCACCTGAAAAGAATTTCTGCTAAGCAACGAAAAATATCGCAATTTAAACTAGTAGTATTTGCAACATACAGATATCATGCAGCGTCCAGTGGCAATTAGAAATAGCACAAATGAAACTATTCATCTTGCCAGAAATCTACGAAAAATCCAGATTTGAACTGCACAAAAACTCAATCTAATTAGAAGAAATATCGAAAGCACATTTACCCGTATCCCATCTGTTGTTTCGCGATAAGCGAAGTGGGGTTTGAGTTGGTTCAAAATACAATTCGAATGTTGACCTATCAGAAAACTTGGTTCTTTTCGTATGCTAAATATGAACTCTGAAAAATAATGGAAATACAGTATAAATGTACTGATATTCTAAATTAAAAGTAGTATTAGTAGTAGAGCAATGCAAGAAGTAACCCATTACCGTTATCTTCTACTGTTGTACATTCGAACAGACCGGCGAACAGGTTATGAACGATGGGCCGTGAGATATGTGTTCTGTATGGTACTATTTCATCATGAGGAACACAATCCATCCCAAACACAACAGTCAAAACTTTTTCACCATGAATCGTACCTGCATCTTCCAAATACGAAGTAATGTCTACTGGGAAATGCTGAAATACAAAAATAACGAAGAATTGCTAGACTTATTTCCTAAAGTTAGGATCATTGAAATTCGGAATACTGCAGCTAAAATAGTAAAGGATGGCCAGAATAATCTCTGATCTCTAAATGTTCCTATTGTATGGCACAACCTATTAACATGGATATTGGGATGGAAAATATTCCAGTACCTGGAATGTAACTCTGTCCTAAAAAATGATGAGAAAAGTTATGATTTTCTGAAAATGCAAAACATCCATTGTTAAAATTTGACGCAACTTTTCAGAATGTATAAGGATTAAAAAAAAATAGAAGTTACTGCAAAATCTCTCGCTTCTTTTGATCCTACTTAGAAAAAGGTTTTGTCATTACGGAAGTTAATATAACTAACTCAAAGTTAACACAATTAACTTAAATGAGTATCCATTAAACAAATATTTAAATAAGTTTCTAACACACCATATTTTTCCAGTCACCGCAGTGAATAAGCACTTGATAAAACAATGACCTGTGTGTTATTACTACAGGATCATCATTACTGAAAATAAAAGCCAGATTTTGAAAATTTTTTGACGAGAATTCAAAAAATTTTGAACAAGTTATAATTTTCGAGGAATTCCATAATAATTTGAAATTTGACTAAAATCCATATAAAGTGCAATTTTGATAGAAGTTGGCCATTATGATTATTTGTATGTATTCACAAAAGTGATGAGAAGAATAAAACAATGAAAGCAGGTGAAGTGCATTATGAAAAAGTATGGAAAGAATAAACTAAATAATTAAATATACGTTCGGAAAGTTAAAAAACTTACTTTGTACTAAGCAATTTTTCTTCAACAGGACATGGGAAGGAACATAAAACGATGCCTCTATAGGGAAAGAGTTTATGAATAAACAGCTGCAAAAACGTCTTTTAACATATGAATTTTAGCCATAAGCACATCGTATAATAAAATCTCAAACAAAAATTAGTATCAAAAATGTTACTGTTATTTGATAATACAGTATGAGACACCAGACCACATTTGGCATTTCACAGTCTAGTCAGCCTGAAGTAGTCCTGTATTCATACCGATGAGTTGATACATGTCAGAACTGACGTTAGCAAGGGTGAAACTTCAAATCCTACCTGGCCTGGAGTATAAGGTTCATCATCAGTTTGAATAACTGTTAATCGGCCTATATCTTTCAAAAAGGCATTGCCGTTTCCTGCTCGTAATCTAAAAATTGTTCTCCATCAATATCACTGGAAATATATCTAAAACAAAATTAAAATCACAAATGAAGTTCATCGAAGTTAACCATACCTTGTCAATAAAGACGTTGATGCGAAAAATGACCGAATCGGCGCGACCCCAAGCATCAGACCCCGCTGGATCATCAATCCAGTCATCTTACCGTCTCAATTCAACCATGCGACCAACATGCGCGGCACTTCCTCACTTCTGCTACAGTATCGAAACATTGATATGTGCCAATTCACATAAAAGAAATTATGCCTCCCGAAATTGGCATCAAAAAAAAAATCAATGTTCCACTAAGAATGTAGAAATATTTCTAATTAGAAGTGATCTATTTAGTTAAATCGAAACGGTAAGCTACCAGCTAAATAACACCGCTAAATTCTTAAATTTACTATTAACAGATGCCAAAAAGCTGAATTTTAAGATTCTAATAACGAATAAAATTTATTCAAGTGAAAACAATAGTAAAGAGTTGGTAAAATATAGAGTACCAAACATGAGCACAAATATGAGCAATATTAGAGTTGGTCACATTTAGAAAACTCTTTATTTATGTCACTAATATACACACGAGAAATAAACCGTGGAACAGGAGGGATAGAGAAATGGCTAAAAGTTGCTATTGACTGCTAGCAGCTTTTACGCCGGTGTGAATGGCACAAATCCCGCATGAAAGATTGCTATACTTTGCATCTTTGAAACCAGCCTCCTCAATCATTCGTTTGTATTTGTCCTGAAAATTATTCGGTTTCTAAAGAGGCAAATATCCTCGAATAAAACTAATGAAAAAAACAAACTAAGTTCTGGGAGTTAGAATGGTTAACACTGTAGGATGGTTTGAACACATAATCTGACACTTGATGATGGATAAAGAAATTTTGCAACACGAACAGTTTAACATTTCGTATTTGCAGTATATACAACTTACCTGATCCGGAAATTTTCGTATGCTTTCTACCAAATAGCGATAACTATGAAAATCACCAGCAATAACTTGTCCCATAATAGGAATAATTTGAAAACTATAAAAATCGTAGAACTGCTTCAACAGTGGATTGATATGGCTAAATTCCAGACAAGCAAATTTGCCTCCAGGTCGAAGAACTCGATATGCTTCCCTGAGTACCTAAAAACTACTGAAGATATTGTTGAAATTACATTATTGAGTATGCTAACACTACCAATATTATTTTCAATCGCTTAAATCTTGCTGCAGAGCATAAAATTTTATCAGTTAGTTAATGTGTTTTTGTTTCCAGGCCATCAGTATTTAACTGCTGCTTGTCTACTTTATTTAAACATGCCATTATATGAACATGTGATCTATGCTTACAATTCCAATAAAAATCGATATATCTGCAGATATACCTTATCAATGCTCGTGCAATTCCTTATCCCAAAAGCTATCGTATAGATATCGAATGAATTTTCATCAAACGGTAATGCTTCCGCATCTCCGCATACCCATTTTAATCGAGCTGCACAATTTTACTATGTCACAGCTTTGAACATTTCTGAGCTACTGAGAATTACTTCAAATATTTCCGATCAATGCAATTTAACTAGTGATAGCATAAATAGTTAAGTCAACAAGAAGCTTTATAAGACATGGTCTCAAGTACTCACAAGTTGGAGCTATAACAAAAAGCAATGACAATGCTAAAGTGGATTATATATTCTTGAAAGAAAATACTACAGGAAAGACTGTTTGTGAAAAGTAAAACAACCCAAAAAAGTATGTATATTAATTAATGATGATCAGACAACTCGAATCATTAACAGTAAGATATTATATATAAGTGATAATGACTGGTGCTATTAGATTATTTAAGTAAATCCATTTATAATTCACATTCAAACCAGAGAAAGATCCAGCATTCTCACTCACCTACAAAAAGACAATAATAAACCTTTCAAAACTGATGGATCATCTATTGCACGCTGTTGACCAACTCTGAGCATATTTTCATTGATGTCACAGACAGTTACTGAACCTGTGCCTTTCCTAGAATAACGAGCAAGCGCTTTTTGACATGCACATTGATCTAACTTGCAGTTTACAGCCTGCTGTAGGAAAAATAAAAATAAGAGAAAATCTTTTTAAGGCATTTATATGTTAAAATATTGGTATAGAAAGGCCAGTAATATATTAATGTATATCACAACGCAATGAAATATGCAATGAAGCATCTAAAACTACACTGTCCCTTCTATCAAATGGTACACAGTAACAGTACATATATTTAGAAATATTAAAATAAAGCATAAAGTCCCGAAAAAAAATCATTTAAATTTCGGAAAGGAAAAGAATTGTTAGCCACAAATTATGATTTTCGAATTACAAAAAAGGCAATATTTGAGAATTTTTACTAAACGGAATATAGTACCTGGACTGTATTTCTCGTACAGCACGAAAAGCAATATCACCAGTCCCTCCTGCAACATCTACCAGCGAGGTATTTGCCGTAAGTCCTAGATTTGCAACAAAGTGATCCTGCAAAATCTCTAATTTTGCGGTTAAAAATTGAAAATAACTCCTAAAGCCGAAATCCTCGTTACTATCAGAAACGTTCGAATATCAAAGTATATTTCATGGAATCCATTCATTTCTTTTTCCTTTTAATTTTCCGGTCTCACAATTGAGTAGATAAATAAATAAAAAACTGCGTCAATTGAGTGAAGTTGGAAAAACGACCATGACTGAATATATAATCTTTGGAGAATTACTATCTAAAAGAACTAAACAAAAATAAAAACAGAAGAAATGAGTTTACAGAAAGTAAAGAAAGAAAAAACAACCTTCCACAGCCGATGAATACCCAGTGACATCGCATCATTCATCAAATCGTACTTGTTAGCAACATTCGCAAATACGGCATGCACTGAAAACTAGATCATCAATCTACCTTTTGTTTCCCATAGCCTGCCCCATCAGATATTCCAGGTTAGATTTAGATTCAAGGAACCGGACAAGCAATTCATTACTCAATCCTGAATCCAGACCCAGAACTGAGAGTCAGTGAAATGATTTTCACTCTACATTGCACTCCTTAATACCACTATTTTCAAAAACTCTCGTTTGAACATTGGCTCTAAACCATATTTGCTCTTAACAAATCATGAATTTCAAAGATATCTACCCGATTTTTTTATTAAACGGCTTACTTATCTATGCTGTTGGATCACGACAAGCAACAATAACATTACTTATGATAGCTAACCATCAATAATATGACAGCTATCAAAAACATTATAGTTAACCTAAAATCCCGTGATGGATAGCTATGAATTGAAATACTCATTAAGACTGAGTTATTTCAACCTGATATTGACATTTATTAATCGTCTAAAGGTTCAAATGACCAAGCAGGCAGATAAGACAGACTTTTGAAGCACAACACACATACATAAATTCCATCAATCAACATATCTCCCCCTTAAAAAATCAAATTTTCTACGAAAAAAATGAAATGAAATGATACAATGTTGGAGGTTTATTTAAGTGAACCTCTAACACTGTAAAATGTACACACCTTTTCTACTTTTCTCCTTTTCATCGACTTCTTGGAAACCAAAATGTGTAGTAGCAGAACGGCGAATGATATCATCCAGCGGTTTCAGATTATAGGGGATAATTTTCCTGGCTGAAACGGCTAGTAACCAAAATCTTCCGTTCATCCTACAAATATTCCAGATAATGAATATTTCTTCATACCTTTCGAAAAATCAAATTTCGATCAATCACCAAGTTATCAACACTCATTTTATTTCCCACCAGCATGCTTCGCACCACTCTATCACCTAATATTATGTATCTTATCAGTACTAGTGTCTCCAAAATTATCATCCACTCCTCATTTTTCAGAAACTGATTCAGAGGCTGATTCTGAAGAAATTCTTAATTCTTAGCAATACACTGTGATAGAAATGCTGTCATTCGTTGCTGCTTCATCAATTTCAACAATATTTTAAATCACTCTTAATTCCTTACCACAATATTCCTTATTAATCTCTAAACGTCATCAAAAAGTATAATTCCTCTAAAAACTATCTAAATAGAATTGACAGAGTATAAAAGAAGCTTCACGAAAAAAAACATACACACAAAATTAATAAGCAAATAACTTGTAAGCAATAAAACATTTTGGTCAACTGACCGATTGTGTAAGTATTTCACGGGCCGCGTTGGGTAATCTTACATCTCTTGTTCGGCTCAGTTTTGCTTAATTAATGTTAATTAGTGGACCCATATCATCAGGATAGACTTGCATTGTCACTCATCTCACTAATTTACTCTGTCAAACTGAATAAATAAATACCGTACTGGATATGTTGTTGCAGTAGAGAAATGAGTAAGAGAGTAAATAGAAATTACAAAACTTTGTTTCAAGTATCCGAATGAATTACCACTCAGACATATCTTTTAAGTGAGCACTAATATGTGAACACAAAGATTTGTTTACAGCATAAAGTATTTTGAACTCAAGTATTTGTTCACTGAGCAAATAAGAATGTAAATGTTGAAACAAAGATGTTTGCTCCGTATTTCAGGTTTATGCAAGGAGGCATAAGGAGATTTTATGAGCTATTACGGAATACTGAATTGTTGTCATCTAGGTTAGTTCTGATTACATCTTACCGAATCATTACATATTTAAATTTAAAATGGTGAGTTTGAATGTTTCCGTATAAATGAACTTAATTTTTAATGGTTAAGATTAAGTGAGGGCAATGGATTTGAATAGTAATATAAAGAAATATTCTAGTGATGCATTGCATTATCCCACTGGACCTACCACTGAGCCAAAGATACCGTTTGGTGATTTACTGAAGAAGCCGTTATCATTACCAACCACGTGGAAGGATGATCATTCGAGGTATGTGAGAATTTCATGCAATCAAAAACTGTTCGAAAATCGATATCAGTTGTTAACATTGGATCATTTTGACGAAACTACAGAACCGCTTTCGAAAAGTTATTGTACTGACCATCATTGCTGAGGAATATACTACACCTTGTAATCAGACATTTTCGAATCAAAACTAGGCTTGGACTCTCTATAGTTGAGTTTCGAAAGATTAAAGGAGCGAGAAATTAAACTTTAAATTACTCTTTTCTTGAACGTATATTTGATGAATTAAATGTGTGTCTGTAATTCAGATATATGTTTTTCAGTTTCTTTAATGCTGCAACAAAATTTTTAATCCCTGAGAAATTATTTACTATGATGAATGCATTCATCGTATTAGATTAATAAATTTGGAAAAACATTCGATGCGCGAAATGTTGCTTTGTTTCTTTTGAGAATTCTTTCAAAAGCAATGACAAACGATACTGCTGATCACCGTGCTCTAACTACGTCGTTAATCACATCGTTGTTGCTAGAAAACTGTGATGGTAAAATGTATGATCGAAGGCGGAAACGATTTTGTGCTAAAATTAAGGTTTTTTATTCTAGTATCTGTTTAAAGTGCGATAACTTCTATTAATATATTCATAATATTTCGGACTGTTTGCTTATTAATTTGATACTTTGAATTACCCTTAACGTTCGGAGTATAATCAAAAAAACTTCCTCTGAATGATGTTGTGCAAATTTTTTTTCTGGTACTATAGTCTGACTCCATGGCGGTTTGTATCCTAATTAATATTACCTAACTTCTTGGTAATGAGCTTCCTTATTTGTTCAACGAGATTATTCATATGCAGACTTTGCTTTTGCCTTTTACTGTTTGATGTGGTGTTTTGTAAGTAAATATGAACTCTAAAATTCATCTCTTTGCTAATACGAATGGGAAAATGTTCTGTTTGTTCTTTGCACAAAAACCTTGCAATATTTCAAGTTTTTGCTGTTGATATATGAAAATGACGGTTGTTACAACACCTTGAACTATGTTAATTTTCAAATTAAATAGTGCTGTAACAACACTGATATTTAAATTAATCGTCAGTTACTCACTTTGAGAATGGTCGTATATAATTTTTTATGTTTTCATCTTGTTGATTTGGATCTTTTTCTTAAGGTAGAAAGAGGTCATTTATTACGATCCGCAGCGGAAAATGATTTAGCGATACAACGCTTCAATAATATGCATAACGAAATAAAAAATTCAACCACTAGAGATAGTTTATTTATGAAATGTCTTGAATTCGGTGATGTTTATCTACGGGTATCCACGACAAAGGTTTTTTTTAATTTTCCATCAATTTAACTTAATTTTTCTATTTTTTTTATATTCTGTAGTGTGGTTGTAAATGAAGATCATTGCTATCTTACCCGTAAAGTTTCGTCATATTATATAATTTCACATAACATTGCATGTCGTTTTACGAATTTAAGCTTCATGTTTTAATTGTAATTACTTTAATGCTATTAGTTTCTTCATGTATGCTTGGTTTTCAGGTTGCTTTGTTGACAGATTTTGAAACTTCATTATTAAAGGCAGTTAGTGACATTGAAATTCGATTTCGTTTTCATCAGTATTCCGATTTATTCAATTTTGTAAGCCAGCTAAGCGTAGGGGATCGTGTGGTAGTGCAGGTTTGTATTTTTGATTGCTAAAGTATTTATATAATGAAGGTTATTTTCACAAGACCTGAACGGGCAGAAGTTAAATGGTGGACCATGTTCTAGAAATTCAGTGGGTAAATTGTTATGTGCAGTGCTGAATGAGAGCAAGCATAAACGTTTCATGAAATTTCTGTAAAATTAATTTCCAATTTTAAAGTTATTTCCTGTTGAAATTTCAAGAAGGTATTTTCTCAGATTCCATTTCCTTTCTTTTATTTAAAAAATTTATAGCTTAAACCTGAAATCGGTAAAAGGCGAACGACTGGAAGGTGTTTTAAGCCAGGCTGGGTAGAATGGTTTGGTGAACCCGTGCCGGATAGTGGATTCCTATTTGGTATACGTCTTGATGTAAGGATTTTTTTTTTTGTTCCTATGGTGAGTTCTACAGTGTATATAGTGTGCAATAAATGATGGTTTGAAATTAACTGGGGATGGGAGGGTATTGTATTCAGTCAGTATCTTAGGGAAACAGAGGAGAATTGAAATCGTGGATTGTTGACATCGAATTATCAGTTTTTTTTATCCGTATTTTTCAAATCTTTATGATGTAAAAGATAAGCTGGTGTTAATGGAATAGTGGCGAAGACTGGTTTTAAATTACATTTCTGAGGATTAAGCACATGAATCAGAGCATGAAAAGAAACATTAATTGATGGTGAGGACAAAAAAGCATAAAATTAAAGCACGAAAAAAGCAAAAAAAGCAGGTCTTATACATTCCACAAAACTAAGTATCATTTTGGTTCATTCCAATGAGTTATTGATTGTGGCATATGAGATTTGCAAAAAATTGTAGTTCCTGGAAATTCTTTACGAATTAAAAGAAATTTGACTTGTAAAATGGAATAGACTGAAAGTTTTAAATGTGATCGTATCTCTGCAACGAACATGTACTAAATCGAATATTATGCTAAGTTGTGGTAAGAATAAGGTAATGTGCGTGTTAATTTGAAACATAAGAGACTTTTACAATATTTTACTTTTTTTCTAAAAACATACTAAAATATCGTATTTTCCATAGAAGTTCAAAAACTCGCTTTTTAATTCGTTCTATATTTTCAGTGTGGTTTTATTTTGTTTTTTGCCCGTGTATTAATTGGTTCGTTAAAAAAAGCAGTGATTCGTTTCTATCATGTGGGTCTGTACTTAGGTGTGCAAATTCAGTTTTAAACTAGTTTTTAGCTTCCTATGAAAATATAAAGAATTTCAAGTTTCATTTTCGCGCTTCTTTTTCCCTTTTACTCTATGTTTCTTTTCGTAAAAATTGATTCATTACTACAATGTGAATCTGAAAATCGGTTGGAGAAAATGGAATCGTGGAATTCAATTAAGGAATTTCGCCTCGGTCGCCACTGGGTCATCATTGACAGCTATTAAAAAATGGCAATTAAGAATTTCAACTTGTTCTGATTTAATTGTTTGATTAATTTCATGTCACGTCCTGGTTTAATTTTTTGATTAATTTCATGTCACTCATGTCATAATTTCACAAAGTCTTAGTTAAGTGGATCCTGGATTGATCAATTTGGAAACAATAAATTTCAATTTTAAATTGAAAATGATTTTTGTAAAAGGATTGTATCTAATTTTCGTTGCTGAACAAACACCAAACTCTTTCGGTCATTCAGGCAGTTTGTTTTTCATTGTGAACAGATTTTGCATGGGTTAATCATCCAAGGTTAGAATAACTGCCTCAAACCATTTATCTTAATTCACCGATTACACGCTGACGAATCAGATTGCTTCGATTAACTTATTTCAGTCTTCGGGGATTTGTTCTGTCTTGCTTCATTATTTATTATTTCGTTGTTGAATTTCAAATTAGTTCTCAAGTCGCTACTTTCTAAATTTTCGGTTGTCGCTCTTGAATTTTGTGATTCCAAATTAATTTAAAATATACAAAAATTATTTAAGTTGCTTTAATCGTTACGTAATTATTTTACATGTAAATAATAATTCACCGTTATTCACCGTTATTTTCTTCTTTTCGGTTCTTCACGGTTCTTTACGGGAGCTTTATTCTTTTATTTAAGTTTAAAATAAAGTTTCTTGAAATGTCTTTCTTGTTTTTTCAGAGTTTTTTGTTAGCCGCTTATATCATTACTTTTCATATACAGGTACATATCGTTGAAGTCTTTATTTGCACATATTTTCCTTTTTCGTGTCATCTTATTTTTGCAACAAATGGATACAGTTTTTGTTTCACCTTTTATTCTACCATTTCATTTTTTTCGGGACAAAGTACTCATAAATTTGTTATATTTTCATTTTTAATATTTCCATTTCTTTTGCATCATTTGCTATTTCCGTGCTTTTATGCAATAAAAATCAACTTTCCTTTCCTTTCCAAATGGTAAAAACTTGTTTTATTTTTTGGTCGGACATGAAAAACCGTACTTTTTTGTGATTTCCCGAAAAAAAAGAGATGAAAAATGAGTGACTGACACAATGGAAAATGTTATGCCAGTAGACGCACCCAGTTCATCCCCATCTTCTGTTTACTTCATTACTGAATCAGCTGTTGGTGCTGTTAATGGTTACTGGGTGTTGGAACTGATTGATTTAGTGGTTAGAAGTGGAATGGTGTTGTGTTCATTACAATTATACTTAAACTGAATGGCGTCGTGTTGTGAAAAATATTTCTGGAATTAGTGCTGGAAATGTAGTGGTAGAGGGTGGAGGGGAAAGATTTGTGCACAATTTTTTTTCATTTAACTTCAAAGTGATGCTTATTCCCAAACTATTCCTGTGCATTTCTTTTTTGTGATTTTCAAAAATCATTTGTTGGCATAAAATTTTGGTTAATCGGTTTTCCAAGTTCATCATCATTTCATCTCCTCCGTTCAGGATACAATTCATTTATAAGTATTATTATTTAAGGATTATTTACGCATTTGCATTAAATAAACCATTGTTCGTTGCATGTGTGTTTCCTAATTGATTTTCCGATGTCACACTGCTTGCTACCAGTTTAAATGAAGGCAGAACGATGGTACTCCACGACTAGTCTCGAACTTCCGTTCACTTCCTCGCTACTATCCCAAATCCTTTGTGTGTTTTCGCTGTGTTATCATTTCCTCTAGTGTGGTGTCTCTCAATATTTCTCCCGGATATGAATCACTGGATTTTTTCTTACCATTGAAATCACTTTTCTGGTTATTTTTCATTCCTAGATAGATCGTGTTTCAAAAAAATTGCTGCAATTTTCTGTTTACTGGTTTTAGAATTTTCTACTACAGTGAGACCTTATCCTTTTTAATTCTTTTAACTTAAGATGTGATTGCGTATAATCAGTTGCTTCAATTAACTGCAGTTCTGCTGTACTTTGGTTGTAGTTCTTGGTATAATAGAACAACTGGGAGAGCACTAAAAATCAAAGCGTACGAAATGCAGAAAGGGGATACAGAGAAAATAAAGTTATTTAATAACTTAGTTGGAGAAGCAGTTAGTTGAAGTAAGTTCTTGAAAGCTGAGACATGGAGAGGAAGAAACTTCGTTCGACTTTAAGAATAAATGAATTTTAACTTGCGATCGTACTTTACAGAGTGCTGTTGGAGATATGGATGGATTTTACAATGGTCGACGACTATTTGCTGCTCCTCATAATGGAGCTGTTCTAGTAAGTGGTGATCGCTTAAGAAATCCACGAAACGTAAATGTTTTGAATGAAGACCCAACATTTTCTGTTTATGGCTTTCCATCGTATCTGGATCATTATTCTGACGATTACTCGCCGCTACGGCAAGTTTATCGGAATTCTTTGTCAGTTGTTTTTATAATTTTCATTTGCTTAGTAAGTAGCATCTGCAAATAATTTATGTGATTACTATATTTTTTTCACGAGATATATCTGTTCTGAATCAATAGAGAAAATAAATTTCTGCTTCGATTCAGGCACAGAGAATGTGAGGTTGTTAGTGTACCCGTGTCACCGTCAACAACTCAAAGCGAAGGCATTATCGTTCCTATAACTCGTCTCGATAGTAATAGCAGTAGCAGTAATATTTCTTCCAATCATTCAGTGATTCGAGAAGTTCCAATAAAAATTGTACCAGCAACAGGCAGTCATAGCCAAGCGCCACGACCAAGCTGTCCCCCATCATCTGCCTCATCAGTGGGCAGATTTCCGGTGAATGATACAGATGAAGTGTACGTGTTCTGTTGCTTTGATAAGTAATTAATTGAAACTGTGATAGTAGTGGTCTAATTTGTCATTGGCTTTTCTACGGTTTGGTCTTATGGTAAGAACAATGATGGCAAGGAAAGCGAGTGAAGTCTCTGTTGGAAGTTTAAGTTACGTCTTTATGTCCTTAAAAATCCTTAAATTCATCAAACTCTTTTAGTTATACAAGCTTGGATATTGATCAAGGCCAGCAGTTACAAGAAAAGGTCAATACCAACGCTAAAATTTCATCAAAAAAGCCTGTCTATGATAATGTGGCATCAAGAACATTTTTAAATGATTCATCTCGTAGTTTGTTGGGAACTAAACCAACGAAGCTTCGGGTAGCTACGGAAACAGTAAGGTTGGATTTTTATTATCTTCCAAAGTACAAGTGTTTTGCGATCAAAATATCTCCGCGAAAAAAGTTGGCAAAGAACATATTTGTATTGTGATTTTAGTAATATTTAGAATTATAGGGTTACTACGAATCTTTTTTTAAGTAGTGTTTGAAACGATTTCAGAATTTTTATCGATTTAGGAGGATCACTCAATTATGTTTGCAAATAATTTATTAGCTTAATGTTTGTGAAGTAATCTGAAAAGAATTTAAGTTCGAGTTAAGGTTGAATTTAAATGATGGAGGACTAATGGAAGGTGATCGTGTGGTTTGGTTCGATGCATTGGGCATACCACGTCGAGGCACAGCTCGATGGATTGGTTATCTGCGTGGACATACAAACATCTACGTTGGAGTTGATTTTGTTAGTTCATTTTATTTTGTCAGCTAATTTTCCTTGTATTATATACTTTAATCACAATTTCGGCTGTGTATTTTCCGCTGTGGAAGTGAAAAATTAGTCAGGAAGGTTTTTGCTGATTTGTTTTCTCCTAGAAAAAAGATGATATTTTCTAAAAATTCAACGGGAGATTATTGTACAACTGGAATAGTTAATCTCTCTGAAGAGGAAAAAACTATGATTTCGAGTTGCGTTCAAAGTGCATTACGTCTATCCTTCTGTCTTTCTGCCCTGTTTCATGTCTTTAATCCGTATCGCCGTAAACATTTGGCATGTACTTTTTTCTTTTTTTCTTTAAATTGTTTTTACTTTGGCGTATTACCCTTTCAAACAACTTTCTCTTTAGTTTCAAAGAATAGGATTCTTGTTAAATCTCTCAAATTATCCGGAATTTTAGAAATGCGTTTTTTTTTCATTCGTATCCCTCTTTCTTTTGTGAAACAGTATTTGCTAGGAAGGCAATAAACATCCATAAAATTAACCGCGGAAGCTGACCAATCGAAGCAGTATGCGATATGTGCACATATGAAAATCGTATGCACATAGATGTGACAAATTGTTAAAAATGGTGATAACCTTAAGATTCATACAGCAGAAAGAGTCCTACCAAGTAAACAAATTATCTTATGCACATAGATGTGACAAATTGTTAAAAATGGTGATAACCTTAAGATTCATACAGCAGAAAGAGTCCTACCAAGTAAACAAATTATCTTGAATAATAGGTCGTTTTGATGGAATTTTGACGAATATTCTCACTTTCAAAGTTGTGTTTTCATTCATTTTTGAAACACGTAATGACTTCGTGTTATTATAGGATGAAGCAATAGGTGGTGGAACAGGGTATTTTGAATGTATTGAGCTGTTCCGTTGTGCACCAAATCATGCAGGTCTATTACCATTATCGGTATGCATGAAGGAATTGGATATGGGTGAGGAAAATAATACCTCAGGTATTGGAAGCTTTGGATTACGACAATCTTCATCTGAACCACAGCAGCAGCAGCAGCAGCAGCCATCATTACCGTCACCGACTCGAATTAATAAGGATATGTCTTCTTTACAACTAGAATCGTTGGTTAACGAAAAAGAAAATAAGGAGACATCCAAATTATCGCAATTTACTGTAGGTAGGATTGTTTATGTCAAATTCTCTTCCCTACTATCTTAGATTGTCTTTATCTTGGATTTACTTTTGATATAAAGGTATCTTTTAGGTATAATTTAATGAAATGCAAAGTTAACAAGTGTATTTTGTAGGTATTTATGCATCAATCAAATTTAATAGACCGATGTTTTTTATCTAGTAACTTTAAACTCTTTGGAGTTACTGTCACAGTTAATTCTGTGAAAGACTTACCTGATCCGAGGTAGTCTAACCTAGAATGATTTTATTTATGTCAACTCCTATGCAACCATTAGAAGTAGAAGGGATTGAAGAACTGTTGAAATTTAATATCTTCAGTTTTCTAGGATCATGCGTTGAAGTATTTTATCGAAACAAGTTGCGCTGTGGTGTTGTTAAATGGATCGATAATAATAATGAGTTAATCCAGAGCAACCGATTAGTTGCTGTTGAAATTGTGAGTAAAATTAGTACAGATTCAACGATACATAGAAGTAAAACCTGTGTAGTTCAAAATTGAAATCAGGGATTTTTAGTTTGATTTCTAGGAATTAAAGTTCTAACAGTCGTAAGTTGTTATTGCACATTGCTCTAAAATATTATCTATCGTTTTGTTCCTCTTGCAAATAGTGCTAGTTCATTTCTTTTGAAGGAAGGAGATTTGCCGCAGGACTGGCAAACGATGGATAAACTACAACTTGAAGATGCTCACAAAGCTGGTGTTTTTGCAAGTGGTAGTCCAGATTCGATAACTTTAGTGCCTTATTGTGCACTTCGATCTGATGATCGTTTCGTTTTATCTGATATGCCTGACAACAATAATCATGAAACGAAAACAAGTGAATATGATTTTCTATTACATTTTATTATTTTTGTAACATAAAGTCTTCAAGAAATAAGGTATTCGGTCCGACGTTTTTTTTTTTGCTCAGTGGTGTCATCAAATTTCGGAAGTTTGGATAGTGGTATTGAAGTTCGACCGTGTTTACCAGTGAAAAATGTCGAGAATCTGCTTGGTCGCATGAAAGGAATCCAAGGTTTCCGGAACAGTTGCTATCTCGATACGACGCTCTATGCTATGTTTTCGCAGTGTTCAGCATTTGATAGGTGATTTGTAGTATAAATTGTGAATAATACTGGAGAAATATATACATAGTGTAATTTGAGATATTCGTCTACAGTATTTACAAATATAACGCTGATACATATAAATTAAAGAAGTGAAGATAGTGTAGCACTTGCAGCTACCATCTGATTTAGAAGTTTCATTAACTGCAGAAGTCTCTGAAGTAAAAATTTTGCGTCTTCTAAAATATAGATGTCGTTCTTTTTTTTTCTCTTTTTTTCTAAAAGGCTATTTTTTCGAAAAAAAAGACTTTTCAATGAGTTTATAAATTTATTCAGCATATTGGAAAGCAGGTGTGAAACTGAGGCAGATTCAGTTCATACAGAAGTCACTGATATCTTGAAAACTGAAATTGTTTACCCATTGAGAAGGTTTGTTCTTAGATTATTTCTTTTTTTCCCATTATTTCTTACTCTGAATTTCAATGTTTTTTCTTGTGAAATCTCAATTAAGATTATCAAATATTGGGATTAACTCAGGTTTCATTTTGTTCGAGCTGATCACGTGTTAAAATTACGACGGTTATTGGAGGTGCTGTTACCTAAAATGAAAGGTTTGACAACTGACGAAAAAGATCCTGAGGAATTGCTGAATGCTCTGTTCAATACAATATTGAGGGTTGAACCGTTTCTTATAATGAAGTAACACTTTCCACATTTTCATAGACCAGAGATGATACGATTCTAAAAGATTATTGACTATTAAGTTCAATCTTAGTTCTGATTCTGCTTATTAAGGTCGGTATTTTATAACAGGAACAGTTCTTCTATCGAAACTTGTCCAGTAACTTGTTTTAACCTCCACTGTACTCGGATCTATAATTTTGCGTAGCCCATTTTAAAAATTTCACTTCTTAAATCATTAGTATGCTGAATTGAATAACTATTTAGAAATACGACAGATGGCAAAACAAATCCCGCCTATATATGTCCGTTAATAACGGAAGATCTATGGAGCGAAAAACAGCGTCGACTTATCAGTGTACAGGCGCTTCTCGAACGATCACTTTTTGCATCCAATATTCAGTTTGCAAGGGTAAGTTTGTTTCTATTAAATAGTAATAATAATTTATTTCAGTAATTTTTTAATAATTTAGCGACTCTTTATTGTACTCGGTAATAATTATTTTCCCAGAAAGAGATACGCTGCATTATTAACTTCCAAATTCTACCTTACAGGCAGTGAAACATCTAAAACTTGGTCTGCTGAGAGATGAAGAACGGGACATGTGTTATCGTCAATAACATTTTTCTTTTTTGTAGCTTTATTTTCGCCCCCTATCGCATCGAATTATTTCTGTTTTCTTGACGTGCTAATATTATGCCCCCTACTCATTTTTAGATTATAATCATAGTCATGATTTAGGTAAGTTAGTCAGACCTGACATCCCGAAATCAAGTCGTGAAAATGACGTTTTGGATCTTTGCCTTTATGAGAAAAAAACTTTATATTTGACTTTAATATCGCAAAATTATTGAAAATAGATGCGATACGTGTAATAATGTAAAGATCATATTCTGAGCATATCATTCATCTAGGTGTGTAATTAAGCTGCTACTGAAGAAACATACCAAGTGACTGGATATCTCAATGATGGAAACTATCTGACAATCATTAAATTTCTGTCAATTTTATTTGGAAATTACTGTGTGTTTGGATAGTTCTTTACCGTGATTCCACATGTCAGCTTTCTTTTCAGGAACCAAAAGTTTTGATTCTTCAATTGCCACGATATGGACAGCAGAAAGTTTTTGATAAAATATTTCCACCTCAGGAAGTGGATATTACTCATCTTATTTATGAAGGTGAGCTGTTCTAATATTTGAAATGAATCAGTTTTTTTTCCTTTTTTTTGAATTGATATGTCGAATTAGTATTCTTTGAATTCTTATTTTCCAAGTCTGTTTCTGGAAAGATCTTTATCAAATTTTTCCCGCTATATATACATAAGATCTACTATATTTATATTCTAGCTTCATAAATATTGTCCGAAGTTACATTGATACCAAAATTCACTCCATTTCTAATCAAAAAGCATTATTTTGAAGTGTGTTTTTATGAAATTGATACTTTTGCTTAAATAGAATTATTAGCTCATTATGAGATGCGTTTGCAGGTAAACGGCCTTGTATAAATTGCGGCAAACGTGCAGATATGATGTGTCCTGAATGCTTCCTGACAAAGGAGGTTTTCATTGGTGAGGTAAGCTTATTTTTAAAATTCGAAGTTTTTTAAAGCTTTTATTCCTGTACGTTACAATAAAGACTTATCAGGATTCTGATATCTCCACTGAAATGACGATTTTCTGATTGAATTTTATATTCATATATATGTTATTCATTTTCTAATCTTTTGTATTGTTTGAAATGGTTTTTATGGTTTCTGTTTTTGGTGGATTGATTGTGGTTTCATGATGGTTCATGGTTGTTTTAAAAAAGAAGTGAAGTCTTTAAATTATTTGTATTTGAGGTGACTTACTGTGGTATATGTTATGAAAAAACCCACAATGGCTTGGATCATCAACCACAGCAATTGTCCATCAGCAGTAATGCGTTTTCAACATCGTCTTTGTCGCTATCTCGACGAACGCAGGTACCACAAAAGAAGCTACAGCTTGCATCTGTTCTTTGCATCGAAACTTCGCATTATGTGGCGTTCGTGCATGCTCTCTACACCAATAAATGGGTGTTTTTCGATTCAATGGCCGATCGAGTGGGTCTTTCTGATGGCTATAACGTTCCACAGGTTCGTTTATTCTTATTCTTTCCACATATATAACCATATATATTCTTTCCACACATAAAATTTCGAAACAAGAACAGTTCAGCAATGGATGGCTTAAATAGTTGGTTATAAGTCCTGTACGGTTATATTCGGCGAGCGGTCGGACTAATACCGATAAAGAAGTTCCAATCCTTCTTTAAAGTGTTTCCTTCCATCATGGAAAAATCAAATTGAAATTGAAGTTCTTGTCATTGTTCTTTTGTAATTCCTCAGATATAACTTTTGAAATTTGGCGAAGATAGTCATAGTCAGATAGTTTCAGTTGCTAAAATTTTGAACACATCGAATTTGTTTTTCGGATTTCATTAATTCGAACACATTTTTTCGAACATTCAGGTGAAATTATGTGAAAAGATGTCAAACTGGTTGAATGATGTCGGTTGGTGTAGAATTCGTGATTGTATCAACCGCGAAGGGCATTTACCGAATGATGTTGAAGGCGATTTAGATTTGATGCGTTTATTGAGTGACTGTTACATTTGCTTCTATACAGATGAAGAGAACAAAAATGAAGGTCTCAGTTTATCGCGTTTTTTTTCCTGAATATTTCATTGCTTTTTTTCTCGGTGGGGAATTTGTGTTGAATTGGAAAGAATTTACAATTTCTCCAAGAAAACAGAAACTGAAGATTTATTTTTTTGTAATCGTTATGTGATTGATCGTTGACCCTTTGGGAGAGCTTTGGAAAATTAAGATTCTTAAGATTTTTGAGTGTCGTTCTAGAACATGAATTTTCAAAGATTCGAAGAAGTTCACATCTCCCTTCAATTTCTTTGAAAAAATCTGAGATTCTAGAAGTTACAAATTTGTGACATCCAGTGTTGCCAGGAAATATGATTTATACTTCATAACTGATTGCTAATTTCTCACATTGTGATTATTTATTTAAAAAACTGTATTATTAGTTGTAAATAGATTACACATATCATCTGTACATATTAAGATTGCTCTTGTAGAAAAAGTAATAACGTTATCAACAAGAACTTAAATCACTTGAGGTATCTGCTTTTGTCTTGTAAAATGATGCATCTCATTTATTAGTTTAATTATTTGCTTTTAAACATATCATTGCTAGATGTGATTGCAGTTGTCGACTTTTTTGATCTCTTAATACTTCCCTTCATATCTCTTGTTGCAACATTAACGAGCTTTTACACAGATTACTTACTTCTTCGGTATTCGACACCCGATTATAATTCATCATATTACGTCAGATTACTTACGGTATTCGATTATAACTCATATACCCAGAAGCACTGGGTTGATTCATGATACCGCAATTCCTGCATCCGTTTTACCATTTCGGGACGGTCTTACTACTGTCAGACTTTAAACGTGAACAAATTATTAATATGATATCAAATAAGCAAGCGCCGTTGAAATGTCTTACAGGTGAGTTGGTCTGTTGTTTAGGGGAGAGCGATGACGAAGAGAATAAAGTCATTCGTAAAGAAGCACTCCAAAGGTAAGAGAAGCAAACATTCAACTATGAAAATTCCAAAGTCCCTTTGCTGCGCAGGTCTTCCAGAAATTCCGGTGTATCTCATTTGAATTATAGCATCATTTTTGGTCAAGTTCGAATATTGCGCAACTGTAGGAATCCCGTCCAACAATGGTGTTTTTACAGTAGGAATTATGACGGTTACGAGGTTGGCTAAACCTCCATGAATTAATAGTCCATCAGCGTAGCCACCAATGTGTCATCTAGTGGACATACCAAATGGGAATTTCAAAAATCCTGACGTTACAGAAATGATGAAAAAAGAACAAGGAGGAGTGGATGTGCTGGACGTGTTGTAGGCGCAATTATTGTTTCACATTTATTTAACCAAATGTGGCTTTGCAATCGTTCCTTTAATCAATAAATAATCTAAAATACAAGTAAAACACAGTCTAAACATAATGTCCACATTCTATATATTTGGAATTCTTCAGGGATCTTCCTAGCAACTGCAAGGTTTCTTAAAAAATAAGTGAAGGACTGAAGCATGGAAATAATCGAAATGAAAACCGGTAATGAACCAATCATTTCCTAGTGAGTTATGTATAAAAATTTTTAAGGACATGCATTTGAACTTTTTCCGTCAAATCGATAAAAAAACTCCATTGTAGGACTGTCTAAACATTGAATCCTTGAATTATATTCAATTTCGAATATGTGGAATGATCACATGAACAAAGTTACGTTAATTAGAAAAGTTGTAAATCTTCCAGTAATTTTACAGCAAGTCTCACAGCAAAGCTAGATTAAAGTTTAACAGCAAATGAGCAATGCTTTATTTTAGGTGCTCAAACGATATAAAAACCTAAGAAGAAAAAGTACTAGTGGCTATAAAAAATGGCGATTTATAACTACACATAAACTGTAAGTAAATTAATTTATGGCAGCGGACGGATGATATGATTACAAAATGATGCTTCTCGCATCACTGCCTGAACTTCATCTTCAGTTTCCTTGTAAAAATTTCGCTTCTTCTGGAAAATAATTACTTGCTTAGACCAAAAAGTACCATTACTGACTTACATAAATTGCCATACATAACTTTTGACTTCGAACGAATTCCAAAAAAGAATGTCTAGCAATTCCCAGCTGCAAACAGTCAAGTTTGCAGTCCCCAGAGAATAATGTTTTTTCGTGCAAAAACAAGGGTAAAAATGAATGAAATATTGCTCGCCTCGACTTCAGCTTCCAATCTATCTCTCAAGCGAATCAAATTATTCTCATTGTCAAACATAACTGGTTGTAAATGACCGGTAATGTCAACCGATGGAATGCCACTTGGTCGCCATCCTGAAATTGTGAAGACTAAACCAATCTTTAATTAATTGGTGTGGATACCAAACAGTGATGTGTAGGTACAAAGAAAAACCAAGGAAACAAACTTAAGAATATGTAACTCTAGTAAGCTGTGTCCAGTTAAAATTAATCAGTTTTATATTGGACAATTTATTTGTTTCACTTTCAGACATGCATTTTAATCAGCATGCATATAAAACAACGGTTTGATAGAGGATGTCACGAAGCATAAATCTTGAAAAACATTCACTTCTTATGCCCGTGTAGAAATCATACCTGCAACTTCTTTCGGTGATCCCTCAATAAGATTTTTTAGTTTGACCATTCCTTCAAGGACCTACACAACATATGTAATTTAGATATAAAATTACTTAAAATCTGTCACAACATAGATCAAAAACGCAATATAAATGATAAAGCGATTCAAATATTGTCTCAGAAGTAGCATCATAAATCTAAGCCTAAGCTATGCAATAACAGTTTTTATTCTGAATATACAAAAGAAAATTATATTACTAATATTTTAAAAAATTTTATTGCATTAGGCTTACCTCATCGTTGTGGATTACCTGACTGACACCATTCAACACCGATTCCTGCAGTTCATCTTTTGCAGTTGTCAGAATTTCTTTCATTTTGTCAGGAGCAATCTGCAATCAGCCAGAATAAAAAAGTATCAAAATAGGATGAAATGAATTATTTTTGATATGGTAACTTAAAAAAGATAACACATACAGCCGATGTGAATGAATCAACCCTGAAATACATCATATGTAGTAATCCGATGCTGATACCATCCCTCAGTATCCTGGGACAAAAAGGGGAAAATCCTCAGTAACCCGGAAGAGAGTCAACACTTCATCATCGAAAAGAGTCAACACTGGTTCTAAAAGTAACAGTCAACGGAATTTATATGCAACTGTCAAACCTATGAGAAATCTAGAAACACCAAAATGAAAACTGGACCTTTTTAAATGATATCACAGTACAGAAGCTCATCCTATCTTTTTATACATGATCAAAGTGTTTATTTAAATACCTTTTTCTTTGTCGTCTTGTGAACAATCTTGACACACTTCTCGGCCGCTATTGCTTCTGCCACAAGTTTCTTTAAAACCTCGTTTACTGCAGCATACAACGATTCAGTAGACATAGCACAAAAAGATTCTGAAAGAAAAATCATTTTGTTGAAAATTTTATGAAGGAAATATTATAATGACACTTAGCGCCTATCCGAAAATACATGACATTAGCAAGGAACATTTCGAAACCATTATATGACAAGGATATGGATTGTACAGTGCCACTATATAATGTCCCTAAGGAGCATTAAGGTGTCATCACGTGAAATCTATTTTACCATTGCCATGTGACCTGTGTAGTACGTAATGCCATCGATAGAATGTCCGCACAAAGTGCAACAGCCGTACGGCCACTTGACTGTTCAAGTGAAATTTCAAATTGCCATTAGACCCGCTCTCCCGGATGTTGCAGCGCAAAGGTGCCAAAATATGGTATCAAAGATGGACGGGGAATCGAGATGAGGGAGATAAAGAAGGAGAGAGTTTAGAAAGATGGAGAGATAAACAAAAGAGACGTAGTGGGATGACACATATCGGAGTTATTGCATTGAAAGCCCTGTTACTGAAGGGGTCAAAAGGTCGCGCGTATGTGATACTGAGACGCGAAATAGCTCTGCTGGTAGCAGTGATGATGAATGAAAAAGAAAAAAAGCTGCCTATGAAATGAAGAGAAGGAAAAGAGTAACAAAAATGACGAAAGAATGTTACGATAAGGCGGGGAAAATTTTTAAATAGCCTACACACCTAATGTTGGAAACGAGTTTAGTAATACCTGTCGTGAAAATGAAACCTCAAATAAATTCATTCACATTGTAAATTAATGCTAATGATACTATGAATCACTTTTAGCATATCTACATTCCTTAAAATTGTTCCCCACACTTTTCTGTTGTTATCTTATCTAACCAATTTGCATCCTTATGTTTAAACCCTTAATTTCCCATGTTAATCTTTCTGTTTAATCTTGTTATAATGCTTGTACCATTTCCGGTACTTGAATTCTTTATGTAAACCACTCCCATTTCTTAACACATATAATCTCGATCCCAAACCAAGGGGGGATTCTTCTCTCCTCTTCCAAGGATATCAGCTTCATATCAATCTCTTCTCACGATACTGGTTAATATTCCTTACTGTTGCGTATTCACAAGACAAATCGACTTCCTGATAAACCCTTTCGCACCAAGTTAGCGCTTCATTTGGATAGATTTGATTGGAATTTAATTACCCAACCACTGAGCTCGACAAATAAATTATCCGGCAGTCATTACTATTTCACGACAGTACCAGAAGTGTCATCAGATTTATCATCAGGATTATAAATGTCACCGCAGGGATCAGCGGGGTCTTCTCAGATCATAATAGCCAGTAAACCGCACTGCTAGGTTGTATTTTGAAATCCAATTTTTATATAAACAGTAATATTGTTATGTGTGGTTCCGTTTCAGGTTAGTCAAACATTAAACTTGTTAATCTGATATTTTGGCTTATTACTTTGATATTCTTCCTTATTTTCTGTGTTTATCGAATTCAATCAGGAATCCTTGCATTGTGTGATATTTAATATTCTTGTATTAATTATCAATCTGGTAAGTTGTAAACGTTGAAGGGGATAACTTCACAATATATTTGTTAATAACATCGATAGCTTAAAATCTTTCCCGACTCTCTTGAAAAAATCGAACGTATATGTTGATTCATTTGCTGATGTGTTGCTTGTTTACATAATGTTTATTTGTTTGATACTTGCTTACATAGCATTCATTTTCGTTATGTTTTACTGACGTGATGCTTGCTTGCGTCGTACTTTACTGACGTGATGCTTGTTTACGTAATATTTATTTTCGTCTTACCTACTGATGTGATACCTGCTTACATAATATTCATTTACGTCGTATTTTACTGATGTTGTGCTTGTTTACATAAGATTTATTTGCGTCGTACTTATTTATCACTGGAATTGTTTAGAGATGTATTGCTGGACGGAATGGAATGAAAAGGACACTGTGATGGATGAATTTTCGTATTGCTCACCGATTCCATGGTAGAAGAGGGAAATGATGAAACAATAACAGTACGATGAGAAGCGGGATGGAACGGATCGCCAGGACGACAGACTGCTGAATATATGGGACAAAGCATGGAGTAAGCCAAGAGTGGGCATGACTAACTTATTTCTGTCTCTCTCTCTCTCTCTCTCTCTGTGTACATTTTTTCTCGGTTGATAAAGATAATATCAAGTCACTCTTGTCACTTGTCATTAGCCAGAGGAAGACATCAGAAAGCTTGCTTTGTCGCCTTTCTTCAACTTCTCACTGTTTTATTATGTGTACAACATCATCATAGTATTTCTTTCTACTAATTATTGCTATTGGCATTACAGTTGCTGTTAATATTGTTATTATTATTACTTTTATTGATATTACCAATTCATTCAACATTCAAATGGCCAAGAAACGATCAGCGCAGGAAGTTATCGCACAAGAATTTGATAAGGTTCGTGGTCTTTTTTTTCTTCGTTTTCCATTAATTATCTTAATGAGAATTTTTGGTAAAAATTAGATAAATTTCGTGAGCAGTGCCCACTATACTTTAAAATTGAAATGGAAGTTTTACAATTTTTTAAGATGGAATTATTTTTGAAGTACTGTCTATTTTATGAAAATAATTTTCATGGGAAGGAAACTTTTCCAACTGTAAAAATTGTTTCTTAAAATATTGATAGAAATTGAAAATGATAAATCATCAGAAAATTTATTTATTTGTTACAGCTTGACACTGATGGTGATGGAATGATACCACTGAACGAGATGCATAATTTGTTAAACGATTACTTTAACCGGAAACAAGTGAGTTTACTACTACATGCTATATGCTTCAGTTCGTCTAAGATATAAAAACATTCGGATGAATTCACTATTAACTTTTCCTCAGATTGGATTAACCGGGAGACAAATTCGTCTACTTCTAAAGGAAGCTGACAGAAACCGCGATAATGTTCTTGATTTCAATAACTTCTCGCAATTGGTATCTGCTCCCTTATATTATGCTTCAGAAAAAACTTGAATTCTAAGTTTATGGTTCCACTCTTCAGTTTCATTTAGATTCAGTGTTATCAAATTCCGGCAGCACATTTAAAGTGTCACCAGTTTTAAATAATCTAATCCATATTAGCTGAAAAACAGGTAACATCAGCAGATGCACAGAAGAAAAAATTGAAAGTGTTGATGTATTCGGTGGCTGATACAGTTATTGCCAAAACTGATAGACCCACTGTGCATACATATATTGATGAATATAATTGCCTGCCTCCACCAATATTTGTTTTAAGCATCTCGCTGTTGCAGGTAAGTAATTTCATTTTATCACTAGAAAGATCTACTTTTAAGAGGAATAACTCATTCAGAGATGGATTATAAGTGTCAAAACTAAGAACAGAATAATTTGAGATGGAATTATTTTTGCTGCTGTTGTCGCTGACAAGAAGTTGATATTATTAAAGTTTGTTGAGTTGATAGTCGTCAAGTTTTGTCATTTTAGCGACATCAGGTCGGGAATGCACTGAAATGCGACATCGTAGAATTTTGGAAGGTATTATATGTAATATACAAAAACAGCTCCCTGTATTGTTATTTTTAAAAGGTTTTGTGCAAAATTACATTCCTATGTTGTAATAAAAATTATAGATAGCTACTTTTGTATATTATATGTATGGACGACCAGAAAATCCATTTACTTATTGCGCTGGTTGTTGGATTGATGGAGCGATTGGACCACTGTTATTTGCTCCATCCCTTCGTTATCAAGCTTGGCGATTCTTCAGCTACCAATTCGTGCATCAAGGGTTCATTTTAATAGTGTAAATCTAAATAGTGAAAATAGCGACTCCGGCAACGAAGTTTGAGCTTCCTCAATAATTGAATTCTAATGTTACAAAAAATTTTTGAAAATTAAATCAGATTTAAATCTTATTTCAGAATTCTTCATCTAATGCCTAACGTTATTTTTCAATTAGTAATTGGCATACCACTAGAACTGGTCCATAAAATGTGGCGTATAGCAATTATCTATCTATTGGCTGTTTGCCTAGGTGAAATTCATTGATTCAGTGCGATGTGTCCTTTGAAATGGTTTGAGTTTATACCCCAAACAACTAACTTACATTAATCGTTATAACTGATTAAACTGTCGATATCTCAAAAATTTGATATATTTCGTTGCAATTTATGGTTCAATGATACCGACAAATTAATCTGATGGGCACTTTTCCTTTTCATAATTTCCTTCAAATACATTCTGCAGTGGACTTAATTGTTTCTCATAGGTTTTAAAATCGAAAACAACGTTTCCATTAAAATAATTTGAATAATACAGGGGCATTACTGCAATATGCATTTGATCCATCCGTCTATTTGGTTGGCTGTTCTGCTGGTGTTTATGCTTTAATAGGTGCTCATCTTTCAAATCTTATTGTTGTAAGTCCTTTCCTTACTTGTTTCTGCGATCTCCGCCTCAATAAATATTATAACAATTTTTTAATAGTTAGTGGAAATCGAATTGTGCAAAACAACAGAAGAGTGGCGAGAGTTGCACACACAAGACTGATAATCTAGCTTATATCTGATACCATTTACGTCTCGCGAGAATGAGGTGCTTTGTGGAAATGTATACTTGACGCAAAATAGAGCGGGAAGGAAATTCCGGTTACTAAATGCATTCACTTTTAAAAAACATTAGAAGTCCTTTAGTTATTTCGATTACAGAATTGGGCTGAAATGCCGTTTCGACTGATTAGACTATTTATCATTTCTGCATACGTTCTTGCCGATATAGCAGTGACTGTTCATCGTCGTTTTCAAATGGACGAGTGTGATCGTATATCGTACACTGCTCATATTGCTGGCGCTGTTACTGGTTTGCTTATGGGTGTCATCATTTTACATAATCTTAAGGTAAATGGTAATTTTATAAGAATAGTAATTTAGATGTTTGCAAAACAAAATTGGTTTATTTCATATTATAGTTGACTATATTTTGATTTGATTCTGACATCGTAGCATGTTCATATTTATCCATTAAATTGATTTGTCGAAGTAGGTCGGTTACGGAAAGGTAGATGACACGAGATTTAGTCAGCAGTCTAAGAATCTTAGCAAGACTAGACTCAGTCGAGAAGACTTAACAACCTAGAAAATCAGCAATCTAATTACTTTGCTGTGGAGTAATATGTTACTATGCAGAAGATAAACACACCTCACTCCCTCTCCTGTTTCCAACATTTTAATCTAATTAAGTCCATTACAGTTTATTGCCGCTAATCCTTTTATTTAGGTCCTGTATTGGGAGCGAATACTTATGACTGTGTCGCTTGTATTGTTTGGTACTATTTTTTGTTCCTAATGGCAATGGTTATCTTTGTGAATCCGTTCTCGAAACCAATTTGGGATACAGTACAATGCAAAAATGATCCAATTTTACTGGACAGTGATGACTTTTATACAGATTTTAAGGATTATTGAGTTATACCGCCATACTATTACAAAAGGCATTAACATACTAGCAACTTAGCGACTTTTTGATCATTATCCAGTGAGACCGACCGATGGATTGTTTGTGTAAGATTCCTCAGCACACTTCAATGGTGTCGCATTTTCCATATTGATGGAAAAAAATATTGAAAAACAGGCATTGAAGAACCTAACTTCAAAAATTCGTTCTAATGAACATATGCTATTTGTTCGGCAAATAATGACGACTGATCATTCGGGGAAACCCGAAAAAGATGAAATGTGCGTATGAATAGTTGTCTTCTTGATCAAGCAAAAAAAGCTCTGCAGAACAAATTAGTCTCAGCTACTTTAAATAAATGAAAGTAAGAAATTAGGAACAGTGTTAGTCTATAAATAATAGCGAAGCATTTCTACATGGATTAAAAGTCGGGCAGCGTCATTAAAGCATTCCAGTGATTGGGATGCTTGAATGCCGTGATATAATTTTTAATGTTTTTTATTTTTTGAGAAGCTTCAATCTTTGAATATAACTGTTTTCTGCTTCATGAACCAACAAAGACTATCTATTCATCACCCGTCCTTTTTCAAAGAATTATTTATCTCTCAACAACCTCTCCCACCCTTGCAATCATTATGTGAATGTTTTTTCCTGAAACCGATAGAAGGTTGGGATTCTGGAGAAAGATTAAAACAACGGCGAAGCATGACAAACTTGTCGGGAATCGTAAATTCGTACTGGAGAACTGGGAGGAAAGCGGATTCATTACGGTTATATTCCTTATGAAATTCAACCAGAAATCTCTTTTCTAGCAACAAGCATATGAAGAACTGGGTATTTCTTGATATATTTCACAGCCTTTTCGTGAGTTACCATGGTGAAGTCGTTACCATTTACCTAAAACACATGGTAAACTCACAAAGTTGAAATAACCAATAGTCAAGAATAGATTTCGGCTTGCAAATGGATCGTATTTGACAAACATTAAGTTTGACAAATAACATAACGTCAACACAAATAATAGTTTGGATCACGATATGCAGCCGCAACAACGAAGGCAACAAGCTGCAGCACTATAGTGAATAGTTTGCTATAATAGGATAATTCATTGATCCCGATAACCAAAGTTCCCTACTGTATATCGAAAAGTGCTTACCCTAAGTATTTTGTCGTGTTGTCGAAGTCCAGAATGTTCTGCTGGTGAATCGGGCTCAATCTGCGTGATATAAATTCCCTACAAAAAGAACAAATTTCCGTAATAAATTTACGGTTTTCCATCACATGAAAAATTATGCAAATTTTTCATATGGAAGTCTTTCATATGGAAGTCTGTGAAGGCCTACACTGTCTGGATATGGATAATGTGCTCGGCTCGGATCTTGATCGATACCACCGCCAATTTTGAAACCTACACGAAGAACCTAAAATGGCAACTAAAAGTGGTTATTTGGACAATTACAAGAGGTTAAAACCTGAATCAGAGATATCGCTTGTTTTTGGTGTAATTCGACATAAACCATGTCCATTCATTTGATTTATTAGAAAATGGAGTGAATTAAATCATGTAGATTAATTGTCTCGATCAGTCAAAAGTTTTGAATCCCGAGAAGTTAGCAGTGGTGATTATTAGAGTAAATGACCACTGTTAATTGAAGAAAAAGAGAAACTAATAATGTAAGCACTGACCTCTTGTCCATTTTCATCTACAAATTGCTCCTTGTGGAGCTCTACAGCGATGCTTAAACATTCAATCGGTAAGCCAGCCACGTGTCCATATGCGCTCATTTTACCATTTACCTGCAAAATAAACATATCATCCTTTTCCAGTACCATATCAGGTCCATTTTACATTCAAGATACTGATTGAACCTGAAGTTAGGTTTGGTTTTGATAGGCACTTAACTTTTACCATTACTTTTAATCCCTTATGTCAATGCTTCGAGTCTTCACATATAATACAACCTACAGTTGGAAGTTAATACTAGTGACGTTAAGCAATCAAATATTCATTTCAATATATAGTGTAACTCTTAATTTTTTTAAACTCATAACTCATTAAAATTCGCATTTCAACAAAACCCCCAAATCCTTCTTGTTAAATTAATTCTGTAATTGAACAACTTAAAATACTGATGAGTCACTGGGCCTTAGTACCTTAACGTTTCACTTCAAGTTGACCTGTAAACGTAAAGTAATTAGTAGCATCTATTCTCATTGATAATGATAATGATAGCACAGAATTATCAGTTTACATCATATTAAATCAATCAATACGTGGACAATCATAAATGGGACCACTCACTCTTGCATTAAAAGCACCGTCAACATATTGTGGAGGTCACTCGATGATTCATCATCTCTTCCTTCTCCCTTCAGAAATACTGATAAATGTGATGAGATTAGCGAAAGCAACAAGAACACACTATTCTCTACCCAATATTATCATTCTCTAAATTATTCACGAAACAATGCAAACCTTACTACTCTCAATCACTCTCATCATTAGTATCCCTTATACCTCACATCTTCCCAACTTCTATTCCACCTTAGCAGTATGGAATGTGAAGAGATATATGCATTCCTCCCTAATGTATCTTCACAATCCATACTGTTTGCTATCACTCCTAATCACTGGTTAACTTCATTGTACGATTTAACCGGATAACTGTTTCACAAACTTCAGCAGTATCTGTTTTAATGATGTAGCGTCTTGCTGTCTCTCATAAAGATGCTATGTTTTGTCTTCCATTACTTCCTATCTCTCTTGATGACATAATGTCTTCTCTCGTCTACTAGCAATATTTAAGGCGAGAAGTTGACGAAAGATTAACATAAGTTGACAAAGATCTTTTATTGAGTTATATGAGGTTGAAAACAAACACAATTTTTATTGTATAGAGAATAAGAGAGACGATTGAAGTTGACAAAAGGATTGTTTTGGTATAAATTTGATTTGTCAAATCAATGCGTTTGTGTTTCTTTGATGATAAGCTCCTCGCCGATGTATCCATAAGTGACAAATTTTGATGGAAATTTCCAAATCAATTTCCAAGTGAGTGAATCACTATGAAATGTTTCCAAAGCAATAAATCGTCGTTTAACACTGGCTTCCTCATATTCCTTGATAATCTATGGCAGAAAAAAATTCAACAACCAGACAGGTGACAATGTGACAGTTAACTCAAGAACTGTTCATCTTCAAATATTTATTTTATCGTTAATCACTTATTCGAATCTTTTGAAACGATACCTCATTTAGTGGTATTTTCATGCACGTTGCAATTGCTGCTATAATATGGACGGAAATTTCGGAATAGCTAATACTATCCAGAGCTGTAGGTAGGATTGTTGCGATATTATTTAGTTTTGTGATCCCCTGAAATTTGCAAGTATCACAAGAATGGCTACGACATTTTGTGATTGCCTTTTTTTTTCCCTTCGTTTCGGTAATTTATTAAATGTGGAAGTTCATTGCTAAAAATGTTGCTGAGTATCGCAAATCCTAACACAAAGTCCAAAAATCTTTGAAAGCCATTTGAGAATATGTTTTTAAGTTTAAACAGCTATTGAAATTTTATGAAATGTCTAACTTCTTTCCGAACCATTCTTATGGTCACAAGAATGACCATAATTGCAACTGTGCATAATATCACATTTGCAATCACCGCAGCAATCCCAATTCGCGCAATTATCATATCTAACATCTTCAACAACAAAGAAAAAACTGACAGAATATTCATCAATTGCATATGAATTGAAATTGTTTCACTCAAAATTTGCATATTTCATCATTATTCAACGAATGGAAAATAGCAAATTATGAAAGTTAATTTTATTCTTTCTCACTTAACACACTCTCATTATTCAATGAAGTATTTCTTCTGCATATGACAATTGCTCCTTCTTCATTTTATGCTAAAATGCACAAGTATAACAGCAAAATATTTATTTATAATAATTTAATTTTAACAAATTCCTTCACTTATGCTTTTACAATAACTCAAATTTTTATAGTACAATTTAATAGAAACATAATAAGCTATCGGAAAACCTTTTTTAATACTTTTAATTCAATTTATGATTGAATTATTTATTTTTTATTGCAAAATTAATGAGGAAGGATTTTATGGGGCCATTTTACAGCTAACATTGATAAAAGCTAACATGTTATCATTCTTATTTATGATCTTTTCGACAACAAAAAAGAAATTTTTTTTTCATCAGAGATAATTTTTATCAATAAAATGATAAAATTTTTATGTGGTATATTCATTGCATTCATTACTGTTGATTCAAAGGAGTACCATAATTAAATATCTATCGTCCCTTTCCCTTTTCACCCTGCTTTTTTTCTTTTTAAACACAAAATGTTCAGTAATTATCATTTCAATTGTTAAATGTTACCGGACACTTTTTAGCTTTAATTGGCTAATTTAGACTAAAACAAACTGCTGGCAGTTTGATTAGCAAATTGATATTTCAAAACAGGTCAGTAGCTAGAATGAATTAAATTTGTGAGGAATGGTACATAAATAAGCCATTCCTAAGATGTCATCATATTTTAATCAAATTAAGACAATCAAAATAATTATTCAATTGTTCAAATCAAAATTAAATTTGCTTTAGAAAAAAGAATGGCGATAGACTGATTTTTGAAAAGTCCAAAATTTGTTTCAAAATTTGCGCACCACTTTTGTTTTTTTGTTTTGAAGGACGAAGCTAAATTGATTGAATCAATTAAATGACGCCAAAAAAAGGTACTGGACGAATGTCACAATTAAAATTACTGATGTGGAAGAATTTCCTTCAACAAATTCGCTCTCCCATATTTACAGCATTAGAATTCATTGTCCCATTACTACTAATTGGTATTACATTTGGCTTAATGATTGCGGTTAGTTTTGTAACCTTTTTTTTCCCCATAAACTTTTCATTGAAATGAAAAAGAAAAAGAAATTAAACTTCCAAACAACAAATTAAATTCTTGAATTTAAATCAGTTTTAAATTTCATTTTTATAAATTATCAATAATCTTAAATGACCATTGCTATATATTTGCATTACTTCTTCAGTACGAACACAGATTACAAGTAGGAATTGTTGTGATGAATCATTCATTCGTCATCATAAATGATTCATGAAATGTTTATAGCTACGATACAAATATGAACTTTCACATCCATCAACAACATATAAGCCATGGATAATTCAAGGATCAGTTATTGATTTGATTATACCACCAGATTTTTCTCAAATATTTGTTGTAAGTTTGATTGATAAGATAATTTGAATTTTATCATAAAATGATTAAAATGACGTCTTGCATGTCTAAAATGATTGTTAAAATTTCAATGAATCATCAAAAAGTGAAATTTTGGAAAGTAATAATTTATTCTTTTTAGGATACCATTGTTGATACACGATATATAATAAGTGGTAAAACAGTTAATGATGATTGCATATTTTTGAATGTGACAAGAAAATTCAATGATATAAATATCATAGCAAATATTGATTTGGAGATTGTTTACACTCCAACTAATCCTGCTATTGATGAAATTATGCAAATTATTCGGGTTGGAATGATTTTTTTTTAGGTCATTAATAAGCAAACTTTGTTGATTAACATAAAAATTGATGGGAAAGTGTTTCCGTTTAATGGATCATTGAGTAAATTGCCTTCCTATGCTAATAATGAATACTTACATTTGATGATAAGATCATTTTACTGATAAGATTATTTTGACATTTTTTTTTTCAATTTTATCACATTGCTGAATGAAATTATTAACGCAGGGACGATACACCACTTCGGATATATTCGAACAACTGGAAAATGATACATTATTTGGACAATCAATGAAAATCAACTTCTTGGAGAAATTTGATCCTAATATGCTAATTAAGATATCTTCTACAACGAAACTTACACGTAACTTTTAAAGTATTAAAATTAGAAATCCATCTGTAGGGTCTAATTTAAACATTTTACTGCAATAGAAAATTTGTAAAAATATGTAATTTTGGGATAAAATGTACTCCTACATGCTTTAATTAAATTCGAAAAGATTAATTAAGGTAAGTTTGAAGTACATTAATTATCTTTTGTTGACTGATTGAATTTAGATAGTTTATTTTATTAATAGACGTATTAACGAACAAATTAAATGAAACGATTTAGCGGTTAGTTTTGTTAGCCTTAGAAGAAAAATCATTTATATAAAGGCATCCTGCGTTGACAAATTAAAATGAAAATGAAATTAGTAATACCTCTCTGTGTTATTTCATTTATTCAATTTATTTTTTCTCTTCTCTTTTTTTACTGATCGAATTTTGAATTTAGCATATTTTACAAGTAAATCAATTTGTAAATTGCTACTTTTATAGCTAAAAAGAATGAGGAAGAATTAGTGAAGTACATTATAAGTTCAATATCAAAACTACGATGCAACAATCCGATCATCGGTACAATCAATCATTTTAATACTTATCTCAACTTTTTATTTTCTTTTATTTAAATATTTTTCTAATCTTTTATCCATATATGCATCATTTTCTTTAATATCCAGCACATTCTTTCACTTACTTTTAAATAAACTTTTTTCAATTTAAAATTCAAACGTTGCAAATGTTTACTTCTTAATTTTCAATCCTAGAAAGGCAGATGTCTTACTGACCAAAACTTCATCGAAAACTTTATTGACCAAAATTTCATCAAAAGCTTTGCTAACTAAAACTTTATCAGAAACTTTACGGACAAAAACTTACTAACTGTTTCATTTGAAATTAAACTTAATACGTTATCATTTTTATTTGGAAGAATTTGCATCCTTAAGTGCAACTACAGGCGGAATTGTTTTCGATGACCAATTCGCCAACTCTGTCAATACCACTGATACTATCAGTTATTCGATTCGATTGTCAAATACAAAACGTCGCTATCATCCATTATTTAGTAGTTTATTACCATGGAATACACAAATCAAATTCGCAATACCAATTCGTACTGGACCATTGGATAGATTAAATCCAAGCGGTGGAAATCCTGGTAACTAATTTCTATCAATGCAAAATAATTATTCTAATTGATTAAGCAATAGAAAGAGACGAGTTATGGTTTAAATTATTGTAAACAATTACTTTTTATAAGTAATTCATATAATGACTCACCTATTTTGATCGTATAAAATTAAGCTATTCTTTTATTACTGTAAATATTAAGCAATTTAATTAAAATTATTGTATATATATATAAACAATTACAAATATTACCATAAACATTAATTATTTGAAATATTTGGTAAAAGGATAAAGCAAATTTCTTTTAAGGCTATTGGCAAGAAGGCTTTTTAACATTGCAGAAAGCAATTGATGTCGCGGTACAACAATATTTAACAAATACAACCAATAGTCCTGTCTTAATGGTAACTTATTAGATCCTTGAGTACTAATTATCGTAATTAACCTACATTATTAATTTACATTTAAAGGCATATTTGGTTGAAAACTTTTAATGCTACAAAAGTACAATTCCATGGGAAAAAATTATCAAAAATGTCTTCTTTCCCTGAAAATTTCAAATTTCTCAATGATTTTCACACTTTGCCAAGTGACAAATGACAATAATACTTCAACGAAACGCAATGATTGACAGTAATTTCAGGAATTACGACAAAGATTTGAATTATTTTTTAGTCCAAACTTTTGTCATTACTGTTTTGCTGATTAAAAATCGAATTGTCAACTCTTTTCAGCTTCAGCGTTTTCCATATCCACCCTACAAAAATGTTATCATCGAGCTTGGAGTATATTTCTTATCCACCGTTGTCGTATTTTCCTTCTTTATCAATGTTGTTTATATTACACGGACTATTGTAACCGAGAAAGAGACTCAAATAAAGGTTGAATTAAAATTAAATTTCACACCTACATTGTACTGTACTGTCATATTAAAGTAAACATGGATATGATACTGGAAGTGTTAAACCAATGAAATGAGATGAGAATATCTTTCATAAGCTTAGAATCGACACCATTCTGTTTAAAAAATTTGATTAGAGTAAACTATTTTTAAGCAAGTTGTTGAGAACAAACTTATCTTTAAATAAGGAGATGATACATTTCTGTTATACAAAAATTTATCATACTCATTAATTTGAACTGACAAAAAAAATTTTTTTTTCTTGAAAGTACCGGTTTTATAGTCTTATATGAAAGTAATGGGCTTATCACAATGGATTCTATGGCTTTCTTATTTGATAAGTAATCTTATCAAACTATCAGTAAATGTAATTGTTTTATCCGTACTTTATTATGTTGTTACACCAAAAAGTGATCCAACCATAGCATTCGTTTTATTCACTCTTTACGCATTCAATGTGATATATATGGCATTTGCTGTTTCAACCTTTCTTCATTCAGGTAAATCGTTTTCATGAAGTCTTAAAAAGGAAAATATTGAAAATTTTTAATTTCAAAAGATAATGGAATTTGAAAAAATCGAAATTTAATACGTCTTTTTTTATACTTTTTCTCTAGAGAGAATACATTGTAAATTATGGATTTTAATTCTCTTCCACTGTCTGAAAAAGTTTAAAGTTAATTTTCAACTGTAAATTTGCATGTTACGTTCAAATTTAATTCATTAAAAATTTTTCAATAATTTATTATTTGATGATAATCAGGTGCTGCTGCAATGCAAATTATACCATTTATATGGGTGACACTGTATGGTTGGCATATGCTCTTCAATATAAAAGATTTAATTTCACCTTTCTCACCTGCAATCCGTTTACTGAACTCACTAAATCCGGATATTGCTCTCACATACGCATTAGGTTTTATGTGTCAACATGAAACACTCGGTTTGTTTTCCTTCGAATTCTCAACGGCAATTAAGCTAATCAATTTTAGATTTTTCCAGGTAACATAATTATAGCACTGTATATTGCTATTTACTGAAGTTTCAGAATTTAAATCATGGAAATTTGAAGGTTTTCCAATGAACCATTCAGACACTATCCAGATTTTCAAATTCTCGCAGAATTCAATTTCTGCATAGTTTTACTTTTTGCATCGAAGCGAAATTATTTTTTGTATTTTCAATGGCAAATACAGTAATCCACTGAAAGGCTATTACTAACAATGGGCAAATGTTAATTATTCATTTGTTAGTAAAAACTGCAGCACAGATATGGTATATGATCGATGAAGAACTTCATTTTAGGAAGTCAAATTTTGGAGATATATCCCCTGAAGGTTGACATATATCAGTACATAAGTTGTACTTACATTATTCTAATCTTCTTCTGAAGATTTTGCTTCGAAAATTTTGCATTTCAGAATTATTATCTTAAAATTCCCATCACTTTTCCCATTTTAGGCTCCGGAGCGTCTTGGTCTCAGTTATTTACAAATCCAACACCGGATGAGCCCCTAACATTGGGTCACTTCTTCCTGATGCTTATCATTGATGTTACTATTCTTGCTATCATAACCTGGTATGTTGAAGCAGTGAATCCTGGCTTTGATGGAGTACCACAGAAACCATATTTCTTCGTGCAAGTGAGTTTTTTTCATCTTTACTACTTGACTGACTCAAACTATCAGATACAAAATTAGTCTTATCACAACCATCAAACCCCTGATATATATTATTTTCGCCTACTGATAATATCTGTTGACTTGTTAGTAATAGATATAAAGGTAATTTACTTTTCAAAATTTCACTTCGTTCCAAAATTCAAATTACTTTGAACAGTCCTTTGAGTATTTCAAAAGTACTAGAAGTTTCCTTTTCGTATTTATTGTTGTTAAATAACGTTTGGTAAATGTTAATTTTGTTACTTATTGTATTTGAATTAAGAATTAAGTTAAATTAGTTATATGAAACAAATTCTAATTATCTGTGCAGCGATCTTATTGGTGTGGAACGAATGAAATTCAAAATTCGAGTAAACATCTCCGATCTGTTTCCAATGATTCATCAAACGTCGATTCTTCATTCATTGAAACTGCACCAAAAACTTTACATGCTACTGTGGAAATCGTCGATTTGTGCAAAACTTATCAAAAACCATTTCTGCATAAACTTCTATATTGTAATTTTGTAAGTCTTTTTTGAACTTTTTGTAATTTGTGCCAAAATTGATAGACTCATTTTGAATATTTGCAAGGAAAAACTAAAAGGAAATAGCGAACAGTTCGAAAATAAATAAACTTTGAGATTTTTTTTTGAAATCAATTGAATTTTTTGCTGCTGGAAAATGAATTCAACTAAGTTGCAAATTTTCGATTTTCTCATCCGTCAAATTCTTAAAGTTTGATTGGAAATTTTTTTTTAAAAAAAGAGAATAACACAAATGTGATCTAATTGGTTGCTTATGGTGTTTAAATTTAAGCACTATTTTATCAACTTTAAACTGTAAATTATTTAAAATCAAACAGCACTGTCACTTTTATAAAAATAATTTGAATTATAGACTAAGAAGAAAACAAAGGCTGTGAATCATTTGTATACGAAAATGTATTCCGGTCAAATAACAGTCTTATTAGGACAAAATGGTGCTGGCAAAAGTACCATATTTTCCATTCTTACAGGTAATTAAAAAACATTTCGAACAATTATCTTTGAATATTTGAAAATGATTTTTGAAATTAATCACAGATCAGATTTTGTCAAAAGTTACATGTCACATCATTTCTGTCAAATTTCTAGCTTTGATAACTCATGAATAACCAAATATGGAAACGATAAATGTGAATTAATTAGTTGTATGAATTATTCAATTAAAATATTTCAAATAAGACTTTTTGATCCATCAATTCAGGTATTCTACAACCAAGTAGCGGTACCGCCTATATTGAAGGTTATGATATCCGGAAAGAATTGCCAGAAATTCAAACTCGGCTTGGATTTTGTCCACAGTACAATATTATTTTGGATTGCTTGACAGTTATAGAACATCTCAAGTTCTTTTGCAAGGTATTTACTGGCGGAAATTATATTAGCTATACTTGATGATAATGCCAGTCCATGGGGTCAAAATGTTGAAATGATTTTGAGAAAAAGTTGTTTGGTTCAATAAATGACTAATTTAACTGAGACTTTTAGCAATTCCACAAATTAGGAAAGAGAGTAATGGTTTTGTCAAACTGTCTTTGACATTCATTTGCTTTCAACCTTTCTCCTGTTTTGAAATAAAAATGGCATATTTGTGAAGAAATTTAATTTTTACTTATTGTTTGAATATTTGGGAGCTAAATATGTAAATTAATTGAAAATCAGTGAAAATGAGTGTACAGTAATTTTTCTTTTTTTTTAGCTTTTTTTCATCGACTTGTAATTTATCCTGAAATAATTTAACTGCAGTTAAAAGGACGTAATTGGCAGGCGGAAGAAGCAAATGACATATTACATAGGCTTAAAATTGACCATAAAGCACATGTTTATGGACACTATTTATCCGGTGGTCAAAAGCGTAAATTATCTCTTGCAATTGCGCTCATTGGTTACTCTGAAGTAAATAAGTTTAATTCTTTTGAAGTCCAAAAAGTATGGTTTTATAAATTACATAATCTGAATATGCATTCTTTTATATGCAAATATTTTATTACCATAAAGTGACAGTAGCAAAAACATCCAGGTGGATAAATTAGGTGATATGTTTTCGAGATTGAAAAAGAATTTCATACTAAGAAATGATTGGTTAATTTAGTTAAAATAAAACTTTAAAAGCCTGATTTAAGACGCATGAAATGAATTTAGGATTGATAGATTTAAAATAACTGGATTTGAAATGAAACTTCATTTTACCGGGATCAATTTGTCATGATGATGTTGAATAATTCTTTCTCCTCTATTTAAGATCCATTCTTACTTCTTTAATACTATTAGGTTGTCTTATTGGATGAGCCAACTTCCGGGATGGATCCGGATGCACGTCATGAAACGTGGTCATTACTTCAGGAAGAGAAGGTATGGAAATTTTTTCAAAAAAGAATTAATTAAAAATAAACTTATATTTGATAGATTTCTCAAAAATTAATCAATTTACATGGTTTTAATTTAATTTACACAACAAAAATTGAAGTTTTCTTCCTTGGCCTTTCAGATTTCTCAAAAATATTTCAATAATTTCAAACTAATTTTCTTATAGAAAAGGCGTACAATACTGCTTACAACACATTACATGGATGAAGCGGATATTTTAGGCGATCGGATAACAATCGTAGCTTATGGCGAGTTACAATGTACTGGTTCAGGATTATTTTTGAAAAAAAATATGGTAATTTTTAAAGAAAAACTTTTATTTCTTTAAGTGATACCTTATTAACAACAGATTAATTAATGAGTTTCATGAAAAGAATTTTTTAGATTTTTTTTTTCATAAATTTGAAATAAAATTGATAATACGAAAAAACAAAGTGATATTATTTTGCTACACTGTGAAATCTCGATATTCAGCTGGTGAATATCGATTAACGATACTTTATAATGAGGATAAGAAAGCAGATGATTATGCTACGGTAGTATTGAAAACTTTAGCTTTACTTCGTCAATTCATTCTTGGTGTGATGATTCATTCATCGAATGGTTTTGAAGTTACCTTTTTGCTACCAGCAGATCAGCGACATAAGTAAGTTTTGAGATAGAACTTTTAGTAACAATATACTTAAGTATAATTAATATAGTATAGTAAAGTTTAAACGAGACATAAATCGATCGGATATTTATTTCAACTTGAACTTATTTCAGGTTTTGATGACAGTTTATTTTTCTAGCTACTATTTAGCTCTCAGAACTTTTCCCTGAATTATGGTGTGAAATTATTTCAAAGATTGATAGTGACCAGATTCTGTTCTAATCAAATATGGCAAATATGGCTTTTTGAAGCCTAATTAGATCTCCCGTATTAAAAACATTTCATTTATCAGTTGTAAAATCAGAAGTGATTTCAAATTTTTTAATGCTAAACGATGAAACTTTAAATTTAATTTTTTTCATAGCTTTCCAAGCTTATTTCAACAATTGGAAGAAAGCACAGATTTGCTTGGAATCAGTACATTTGGTGTATCGGTGACAACAATGGAAGAAGTTTTTTTGAGGTAAACTGTTCTGTTTGTTGTTCGAATAGTTAGTTCATTGAACAAACTTAATCCATTTCCGGATTTCAGTTTAGATCTCTTGCTCCTTCAATATTTTCAGGGTATGTCAACATGCTGCTGAAAAATTGCTGCCTATACTTGACAACGACATTCCAGAAGACAGGGATCGTCATTTTGAAGTTTCCGGTATATTGATTTGAATTCAAAATTTCTGTTCCCCACAATGTTTAACATTTGTGAAATTTGATTTTTGATTGTCGTATTCTGGAAGTGGTAAAACTTCAATTAAGATAATTTGACTACTTTCCGGTTACTTTGATCTTTCCAGTTACGTCGATCATATTCGATGAGGTTAACACGAAAATGTCGCATTCAGTGACTTACTAGTTATCAAAAGAATTGGATATTTAACTTTAAGATTGCTTTTGATGATATTTTTTCAGAAGTTAGATATGAAAATCGATTACAAGGTTATTCATATCATCTGCAACATTTCCGAGCAATGTTCTACAAACGTTTTGCATATTTCTTCCGAAAGCGCACATTCTTCCTGCTTGAATTATTGTTCCCCGTAAAATTTAAGTGTAATTTTAGATGTGAATTACTTTTCGTTTGTTTATTGGATGACGATAAGATTATTTTTTCATGACAACGGAAGAATCCGCTTTTAGATTAAGATTTTCCTTTTGATGACATCAGAAGATTCTTGTTTGAAATCAGAATCCCTTTTCATGACATCAGAAAATCCTTCCTTTAAATTCTTGCGGGTTTTCATTTTAAGAATTCTTTGAAATTTATGCTAAAAATATTCATTTTTAAAACATTTCATAATAATTCTGCTTACAGGCCATTTGTATGTTACTTATCATGGAAGCCTGCATGATGATACCAGTACCAAAAGAACAGCCTAGGCTTCCTATCAACTTTCAACCCTATTGTAGTGGTGGAACCAATGCTAATATTAATATTAAAAATACAACAGCTGCATATTTTCAAAGAATCCTTCCAGAGTAATTTTGAAATTTGTTATTGTAATTAAAATTATTGATTTAATTAAACGTATAATGGTGAACTACTATATATCCATTAATACTAGTTGAAGTCACAACTTGTAAGTCCTCAAATTAAGAAGTTAAGCATCTTCTGGCAGACTCACGTGGTGCTATGTATACATATATGTAGTCAGTACGACCACGTATTTTCACAAAACTTCGTATATGTGAATTTTGCGACAGCTAATGACAAGGAAGAAATTAAAAATTTAAGCATCGTTAAATGAACATTTTGTCATCGAAAGTTAGGGGATACATCTTCTTTACTGTTGTCGTAATTTAACTTAATAAAAAAAACTTTATCGTAAATAAAATGCAAATTTTAGAGTAATCCAAGAAGCAGCTTCTATAAATGCCATGCACAAATATCCGTTCCATTTGGCTGTCACAGATGATATCACCAAAGAATTGATTGAAAATTTGGATCAAGTAATTTGATATTAATGATTATATTATGATCAATTCAAACATCAAATAGCTATTAAAAGATGAAATTGCTAATCAATTAATGGATCACTTATTTTCGGACTCCCATAATTCTATGAATTTTTTAATCAAATTTTGATAGCAATTTGTTCTAAATCAGAGTTATTTGAACTAAAATATTTCTATTGCAAAATAAAATATTTAAGATAGATTTCGTTTATTATATTTGATCTATTAATTACAGTACTTAATTTTTAGAAAAATAAATAATATCAGATAAAACTTCCAGTACCGTATTAATAATATCGTCTTAATTATTTTTATTTCACAGCAAAAAGATCGTAGCTTTGGTTTACATAATCCAGTCGCGTACAATTATTTTAGCGATTTGTTTGCTCATGATTGGTTCATCGGTAAGTTATTACTTATTTGCTTTTAATTATGATACTGTAATTAATTAAATTAACGAATCTGTAAAGTGGTCGAAAAATGTTTTTTCAGCGATGTTCAATAATTACGCACTACATTCTCCTCCACTAGCGGTTAATCTTGCCGATATAGCAATTATAAGTAAAAGTATTCAACGAAATATTTCCATACAGGTAAACTCTTAATCAGTGGTAGAAATTTTGTTCAAATTAAACAAAATTAAATTATGATTTATTTTCTAAATCTAATTTAGTTTCAAATTTTTTATTCAACAAATTAGTTTAAAATTAATTTTATACAAATTAGGAATTTCATAAAATTCATTAAAACATTATATTTTCTTTCTTCCTTTTAAACAGGTCAGCAACCATCCATTACCTCCAACAGCTACAGATACTCTCAAAAGTCAAGATGTCATTAATCAAGCAGCATTGACAGTTGGTTTTGCAGCTATCATGTCATTAAGCGCCGTAGTTGCAAGTTTCATAAACTTCATTATATATGAAAGAACGACAAAATCTAAACATATGCAGGTATTGTAAATTGGAATATTTTTAGGGATATTAATCATTTCCTATGACAAGAATATTAAGAGTAATATAAATTTGTCGTCCTCAGTGCTAATGTCACTTTATATCGCCATAATTATTTGTTCCTTACCGATTGGAATGGAATTTACCAAAAACTTTAATTTGAAATATTTATTTTCCGATGCGAAATTGCGTTTTGAATTAATAATTTTTAAAGATTGAAATTAATTTCTAAAATTGTTTCATTTTTAACTATTTTTATAGATTTTATGTGGATTGAGACATTGGACTTACTGGTTGACAGCATTTTTATGGGATTTTACAATTTTCCTGATACCTGCGACACTTTGCATTGCTGTTTTTTTATAGTTGATTTAAAAGTTAGTCAGATTTTAAGAATAGTTTAATTTTGGTCAAGTAAAAATCTGATCTTTAAATTTGAGTGCTGTTATTAGTGAGATGCATTCTTAGAAAATTCGATTACTTGATGAAAATCCGTTTCTTTTTTCTTTTTTACCCCCTGAAGTTATCTTTTATCGTAATTCTTTCTTATCATAGAATGAAGTTATCGTAATTCTTTCTTATCATAGAATGATGCTATGCTATTAAATGGTACTAAATGGTACCATTCAGTTGTGGTATCAAATGTTTTCTATCATTTCTGCAAATATTTCTGAATACATAGGAATTTATAACTCGTGCTACGGTAACATTAACGTTATATTTAATAATGTTACTCTATGCTTGGGCTCAATTACCGTTTATTTATTGGTGCTCATCATTGTTCAAATCGTCAACCAATGGAAATGCTACCATATGTGTTTATAATTTTGTGACAGGTTTTGTTTAAGTTTTTGAAAATTTTATAAATTTAATGAAATCATTAATCTATCCTTTCCACTCATGAAAATGAAATGATTTAAATTGCCTTATTGATTGATTTCTTTCTTCAATATGTCATTGAGAATTACCAAAGAATAGTTTATAATACAATTTCTTTTATCCAAATAGGAACAAACAAAATTGCTTGGCCGAGAAAAGAGAAAGAAATAAGCAATTCATTGGCATAAGAATGAGAAAGAAATGGCAGAAAAGAAATTGAACAATCCTCGTAATTTTCTTCATAAAAGAAAGCCCATTGAAATTTCGTCTAGCATTATTTGTCACATCAGGAATGACCATCTAGCAGTATTTGTCACATTAGGAATGACTATCTAATAGTGCTTGTCTTAAAAATCCTTCATAAGAAATTTGTCATTCTTTTAAATAGGTATGATCGGTGCAGTTGCTGTTTCAATTGTTGAAAAAGCAAGCGGAAGAGATACGGCAAATACACTTTCTATCATTTGGTCATTGCTTTTTCCCACTTATAATTTAAGTCTTTGCTTTTCGAAAGCTTACACAAATGAACATATGTATGAAACATGCAAAATAGTTGATTGTTCAATTGGAGAGATTCGGAAGACTGCTAAGGAATGTTGTGGTACCATTGATGGTCAGTTCTTTTCCCTTAATGAAATTTACCATAGAAAAAGGAGAGGAAGGTGACAACTGGAACATCTCCACTCATTTTGTTTATTATTAAGCATATAAATGACATGCTATAGTTATCTCAGTCTCAATTCAACTGTAATTAATTAAATCGTTAGCAAAGTATGCATACAGTTTAAACAAAAGGATAAGATAATTGAATACATCTTCTTTAAATTGGAAAAGTTACGAAACTATCAAGCAACCGAAGCAATGAAGAGCAGAGCAAAATAAAGAGAGAGAGATTATGAAATATTGATAGAAATTACGAAATGATATGATTATAATGAAGTAATTTCAATTAATGTATTTTTCCTTATAAATTAAAGTCATAGTGTTTTAATTATAACTCTGATTAATGATAAAGCAAGCAGTGTAGTTCAAATTTGATAATGCTAAGCCAATTTCATAATTTGAATGCTTGAAATTTAAAAAAGAAAAAAAAACTCATTGAATAATTTCTAAGGTTATTTAGGAAAAATTACATTTTTAGAAATTCTTTATGTTGATAATATGTTAACAAGTACGGGTAAAATGGGAATGGCATTAATGGTGGCATTTTTATTTCTTCATTCTATTATTTTTTGGCTTGCTATTGCTGCGTATGAGACAAATTTCATTGGAACTATTAAACGATGGTTAAACAAAAATGCTAAGGGTGATAATAAGGTTAGTTAATTGCCCACTAATTAGGAATCAAGTAAGCTATTTGCTTGTCACATGTTACTACAACAGGATTTGATTCTTTCTTTGATCAGCTTTCCTTTTTTTCAACCAGATAATCTCGGGAGTTGTACATCCTATTTAAACTTTCACATATTTCTTCGTCTCCTCCACCTTCTTCAGCTCGATGAATATTCCGTTTATGTCATCTTACTCAGGGAAATGGAAAGATTCTGTTGTAGTTGAGAAATAGGAAGGAATCGGATCAAATTATGCATAGAATCAGCTTTTCTTCCATCAATCCTTCTGTATCTTGTTAGCGAAGTATAGAATAATCTCAACTCTTCCAACCGTAAGAGTGACGAAGAAATTCAACTCAAAATATCTTTCATTTACATATTGGACATGACACATGTAATTGTATCTTACACTACTGGCTTTCAAATTTTTCAAACAATAAAAAGGTAATCTTTTTTTTTACAGATAGTTTTTTTTACAGATAGTTGACGTAGGAAATTCTCAAACGTGTAATGAAGACACGGATGTTATGATGGAGAAAGAAAAAATACGTGAAATGAAGAATGGTGATGCATTAGTGATCGTACGCAATCTTGAGAAGTGGTTTGGAGATGTGAACGCTGTGAAGAAAATTAATTTCCATGTTGCAAAAGGGGAATGTTTCGGCTTACTAGGTTTGTAGAAATTATTTTCGTCCAAATAGAACTTCAGACTAGAAAATGGATTGGAAGAAAATTGGCAGTGTTATTCGTTTGAAGTATTCCGCGAGCTAGCGTTGATGATTTGAAATTATTTGATAGGACTGAATTCATCAGAACTTCTCAACATTATCTTTTAATTTTAAATTAAATTTTACTTTCATGAAAAGTAATCCCGGATGGAAATCTATCTATAAACGACGTCATCAGTGAAAGAATTTTTATTCTATGTGAAAAATTTCAGGTGTAAATGGAGCTGGTAAAACGACAACATTTCAGATGCTAACTGGTGAAAGTAAAAGCTGTGCGGGTGATGCTTACATTCACGGTTTTAATATTCAAACACAGTGGCGAAAAGTTTGAATTACTATTTTCCAAAGCAAATAGTAAATTATATAAAATAAAAATGTGTACTCTTAATTTTGGGATGTAATATTACACCACTTTTTTTAAGCCCCAAAACTACCGTAATGTTTTTATTTATTTGAAAAAACTAAATTCCTGCCATATTTTTCTACGGAGAAGTAATATGCCTTCTTTTGATTAAGGCATATGATCATATCGGATACTGTCCACAGTTTGATGCACTTATCGGCGAGATGACTGGTCAAGAAACGTTACAGATGTTTGCACGGTTACGTGGAGTCAGAGAGTGTGATATCACGCAAATAACCGATTCGATGATTCATACTGTCGCACTCGATAAATATAAAAATAATCTGATTAAAACATACAGGTTAGCTTTAAGTAAGACCTTTTACATAACTGATCTCTTATCATTCTCCCACTTGTGATAAAATTCCAAGCAAAAATTCCAAACACTTGTGATAAAATTTTTTTTCAAGTTTGATTGTATCCTACCGTAAAACATATCTACCATGTAACATTTCTAACTTTATTGAATCCTACTGTACAACTCAAAATTTCATAATGGTGCATGCAAAATTTGATTTTCTACAATTTGATGCAAACATTTCCTTAATTCGAAGAATGGAAAATGAGAGTACCGTACTCGAAGCATAGGATGATGGTACTTTTATTTTAATATGATTATGCATAATTGGAATTGCTGAAACGGAAGGATTTGAATAGATTCCAGTACAAATCGGAATAATTTTTAAATTATAAAAATTTCGTATCAATTGTAATTTACATATTCAAAGCATAAGGTTTAAAAAAAATTCAAAAGTCATTAAAATACTGTGAATGATACATATTATTCAAATTTTTTATTTTGGATAAAAGCTACATAAGACACTGCTTCCGGATTTGGTAATTTTGTATAAGTTTTAAGCTTGTTTTTATTTGACGAGACGACAGCTGGGAACTGATGAATGAGGCTGAAGAAGTAATCAGTGAGTTACCGGATGTCCTTGCATCCGATATCAATTCGGAAATAGAATTTCAAATTAAAGCGGTCAACGGCCATGAAGGATCTGTTATCAAGAAGGGGAAATACAAGGGTCAAATTATGGGCTTGTTCACGAGCGGGGGTGATGCACCTGGAATGAACAGTGCGGTACGTGCGATAGTTCGAGTAGGTCTATATCTTGGTGCACGGGTATTCTGTATTCATGAAGGGTATCAGGGCATGGTTGATGGTGGAAAGTTTATTAGAGAGGCCACCTGGGAGACGGTTTCGGATATTATCCAGAAAGGTGGTACAGTGATTGGTTCAGCACGTTGCAAAGATTTTCGGGAACGAGCAGGACGATTGAAAGCAGCCGAGAATCTGATTCGACATGGTATTACATCGTTGGTTTGCATTGGAGGTGACGGATCATTGACAGGTGCCAACACATTTAGAAATGAATGGTCTGGACTGGTAAAAGAATTATTAGATGCAAAGATTATTACCACAGAAGATGCCCAGAAATGTAAGTTAATTCAAATTGTTGGAATCGTCGGTTCAATTGATAATGATTTCTGTGGTACCGATATGACGATTGGAACAGATACCGCATTACATCGAATCACAGAAGCAGTCGATTCAGTTCGATCAACTGCTCACAGTCATCAGCGATGTTTCGTTGTTGAGGTAACTCACCATAATGATTTGAAAAATAAAAACTAGATTTGATTAAATATTTGAGTTTCAAATAAAGCATTATTCTCTTTTGAGTTTGCATTCCATTTTCAGGTCATGGGACGTAACTGCGGCTATCTGGCACTAGCCGCATCACTGGCACTGGATGCCGATTTCTGCTTCATTCCGGAATGGCCACCACCTCCTCATTGGAAGAGTATTTTATGCAAAAAGCTGAAACAAATGCGTGAGGATGGAAATCGTGTCAATATTGTGATTGTTGCCGAAGGAGCCATTGATCATAACGGCACTGCGATAACATCAAGTATGATTCGGGATGTGATCAAGAAGAATATGAAATATGATACACGTATCACAATCTTGGGACATATCCAACGTGGTGGCAGTCCATCTGCCTTCGACCGGTTGCTAGGCTGTAGAATGGGAGCAGAAGCTACAATAGCATTAATGGAAATGAATGAGGATTCGGAACCCTGCGTTGTTTCCATTGATGGGAATCAGATGGTACGCATTCCGTTGATGAAATGCGTGGAACGTACGAAAGCTGTCAAATCAGCAATGGATATAAAGGATTGGGCATTGGCTCTGAAATTACGTGGTCGTAGTTTTCGACGAAACGTGGAAATGTATCGTACCCTATCCAAAATCCGTAAACATGAACCGGTATTGGAAGGTTTCAATATTGCTATTATGAATGTTGGTTCACCTTGCGCAGGTTGCAATGCAGCAGTGATGAGCTGTGTCCGAACAGCTATCCTTCAAGGATGTGTTCCGTATTGCATCTATAATTCCAATGAAGGCCTTGCTTCTGGTCAGTTCCAAAAAATGGAGTGGAATGATGTGGCGCTGTGGTCTGCGGAAGGAGGTTCATTCCTTGGCTCCCAACCGGGTCTTCCCACTAATGACACCTTACCATTAATGGCTAAGAATTTGTTAAACTTCAATATCCATAGTTTGATTATAATTGGTGGTTTCAATGCTTATCAAACATGTTTGATATTTGCTCAAAATCGTGAAAATTTTCCATCATTTCGGATTCCAATGTGTGTCATTCCGTCCACCATCAACAATAATGTACCGGGTACAGGATTCACTCTTGGTGCTGATACATCGTTAAATGAAATTTGCAAAATGATTGATAAAATTAAGCAATCAGCAACCGGTTCCAAACGTCGGGTTTTCATCATTGAAACGATGGGAAGCTATTGTGGTTATTTAGCCACATTATCAGCGATGGCAAGCGGTGCTGATGCAGCTTATATCTATGAAGAAACATTTGATGTCCATGAACTGATCAATGATATACGTGTTATTGCGGAAAAGATGAAAACCGGAGCTCAACGATATTTGATAGTTCGCAATGAAAGAGCATCAGATAACTATACGTCTGAATTCATCCGGCAACTGTTTACGGAAGAAGGTAAAGGTATTTTCACAACTCGGACCAATATATTAGGTCACACACAACAGGGTGGCAATCCTTCACCATTTGATCGACTTTTTGCTGCAAAAATGGGTGCTCGAGCGGTTGTTCATCTTCTTGGACAGATGAAAGAATTTAAGAAGACAAACCTTTGCCATCCCGGTACAGCAACACTACAAGGACTAATCGGCAAATATGTCTGTTTAACACCAGTAGAAGAATTGATGGAAGATGCTGACTTCGCACATCGTCTACCCGTGGAACAATGGTGGATGAAGTTACGACAGCTATTACGCATACTTGCAAAACACGACTAGAAGATTTAAAGATAGCTAATTGTCAAGGATATCTAAGAGATATCGATCATAATTTGACGTGAAATACGTCTGATGTTATTTCGTCTTCAACTCTTGTATCATTTATTCCTGAAAACAATATTCTTCATTTTTCGTCTGTCTACCTAAATTGATAGATTAAACATTGGTAAACTATACGGATGTACGGCTGCACTGAAACTTTAATATCTTAATAATGCAAATTCAGAAAGCTTTATATGTCGGATTGGTGAGAATCGGATAACGGGAGAATCGTTTCATTAAGATATGGAGTATCTATGAAAGAGGTCACACAATCAATTTCTGGCTGAAAGGGAACTTTGGGATTCTACGTTACCTACATTTATAGAAGACGTACAATGACATGATTGCTTGCAATGATGCAAAAATACACGACTGACTTTGTCTGACATGCAATCTAATAACTTCTGCGAACTGCATTGATTTCAGAATGACAGGAATGACAGTTCAGAATATCACAACAATACTTATTTTGCATACAGCAATTTTTGAGAAACTTTTCGAAAAAGATATAAAGTTCATTTTCATTTGATTACTGTCACTTGCATGAGTGCACTGCAGAATTTGCATATTTTGGTTTTCACTGTTTTTGTTTTTCATCACTGTTATTGGTGATATGAAATGTTTTATGATGGTTATGTTTTGAAGAGGACACTCGATGATATTTCTTTCAAATTTTTAACTTTTCTTCTGAAGAAAGGAAAAGAAAAGTTTGACCATTTTTACTGAATTTTTTGATCATTTTTGACATCATTTCGAACAAATTTCATCTCCTAACATTTTTGTTATGCAAATTTTGATCAACAAAAAGGGGAACAGAAAAGGGAAAAAAATGAGAGGGTAAGAGAAAGGATAAAAAGTTACATGTTGTCCTAACAATAATTTTAATTTCATTGGTGGCAATAAACGGCGTTTGAGTCTTGGCATTGCCTTATTAACACTACCCAATGTTCTACTATTGGATGAACCAACAACTGGGGTCGACCCAAAAGCAAGCCGTCTCATTTGGGATATCCTATCAAAAGTAAGTTCAAAAGTTATTCTTAAAAATAACAAATAAGTAAAAGAAGAAAGGGAAGCATGCTTTTTATGAAGTTTACTTTCTTACCTGTCACATGGTAAATTTTGTCTTAATAAGCTAATGACAATGATAATGAAAATGATAGGATAATTATTAAAGATTAGAGAAAGTAATACTGCTTTGGTGCTCACGTCACATAGCATGGAGGAATGCGATGCGCTTTGTACACAAATTGCAATTATGACAAGTGGTGAATTCCGATGTCTTGGCAGCGCGCAGCATATTAAATCAAAGTAAATCAATTAAAACTAATAATTCATTAATTAAAGTTAACAATTTCAATGACAAATTTAATGCTTACTCCGTTTTTAACAACGAACCTATCGTATGTTTCCGATCACAATTCTGGAATAGACGCTAAAGTAGTATCGTATACCTGATTCTTACTAATACAATAATCAATACACCGAATTTTATCAATTTTATCAATTATTTTTAGATACGGTAGCGGATATAGTTTGGCAATACGATTGTGCACAATTAATCAGATTGAACCTACAAAAGAGCTGATAAGAAAAACGTTCCCTAATGCTCGACTAATGGTCTCTGGAGATTTTTATTTCAGAATAAATTAAATGCATGAAAAGTTTATAGCAGTGCTGGGACTCTTCTCTTCCGAGAGATCCCAGATAAATTCTGTTACTGGCAAAGTTTAACAAAGAATTTCAGAATGAACATGTATTACATCTGAATTATGAATTAGCAGTGCAGAAAGGACAAACATGGTCAGTGCTTTTCGAAAAGCTCGGGAAATTGGCAGAATCGGTTGATGCAGCAGACTATTCGATCAGTCAGACAACTCTTGATCAGGTAGTTATCGTATATGAAAGTTTGAAATTAGATTTTCAAGTAAAGTAAGAATGTTCGCAGGATCTCCTTGCGGGATCCACTAATGTCCCACACTACTATTGGACCAGTAAAACCATCGTTATTAATCTCCGTAGCAATTCTTCCTGAAAAAGATGAATGATTGATAAATACTTTGATTAAGATCTCTAAAACATTTACTTCCAGATATTTCTCAACTTTTCAAGAAATGGGAAAAGCGATGTTATCAAAGTTCGCTTCTGAGAAACAATCAAATACCAGTAGTAATTAACCAGAAATTCTATATTCAGAAGCGCTATCAATAATTATCAATCCTTCGCCATTTTATCTGAAAAAAAAGTTCGACTGAGTGTTTCCAAGTGGCATTTCAAGTTCCATTCTTGCTAGTAAAAAATGTTTTTGGTTTTTTTTCCAACTTATTTCCCCAGAAAACATCAGAATATGTAAAACAAACAACCGCACAAATGAACGATCACATTGGATGTTCTGAGTCTGAAATTAATTTCTCTCATCAGATTTTACAAAATCATGGTTCAATAGATATTGGACTATTGATCCATCATTTTCTAAAATGTGGTTGAAAAACTTTCAGCTGAAGCATAGTTGTTGAGTAAGGAATTCAAATGGCAATGTCGCACATTGTGCTGGTGACACGAACAGAATGACTGACTGATCAGCAAACTAATAATTAACCAAAACATGAAAGTAACAAAGAAAAGCAAAAAAAAAGGAAGATGAGTAATAAAAATAACTGAATGTTTAACTTAGTGATTATCTCACTACCAAATGCTATTCTCGGAAATTTAGATACTGAGTGGTCAGTTTGCTAATGGTCATAAAATGATTAACTGAGAAACCAATCGATTGACGAACTGGATGATCTTCTTTGTACTGTAGAAATTAAAATCTGAAATAGATATCCATTATTCTTCTATAGGTCGATGAATTCAGTAAAAATTGTCAATTTGATTAAAGAAATAAATAATTCAACTATACGGTAAGGTACAAGAGAATCGATTTTATAACTTCGAGAGATATTCTAGAAGAGTGGATGAGATTAGAAAGTGGATGCAATTTATGCTCAATAAATAAATGTCATTACGATGTCACCTTCCAATATTTACTTTTATTGAAATGAGAAATAGAAAAGAATATCACGCTAATAATTACTAAAAATCTAAAAAAGTTAAATCTAGTGAGGTGCTAGTGATATCGAATTTGAAAAATTGTTTCAAGATACTGCCTCATATGCTCATATGAATATGGGAATCACGTTGCAGAATACGTGATTCTGTATTGGTTCCACGTCCATCCGCTGCAGCATTTGCAAATTCTGCAAATTTTGTTGTATAACTCCAACTCTCTGCACAATATCTCATGTAAATTGTGAAACAAAGTCAAATCAGGTAGGGTTAAATAACAATTACTGACTTTGTAATCTGCCGATTTTGATTGCAGGAGAAGAAAATCTCAGCGAAACTTTTTTTTCTTTTGTTTTGGCGGTTTTATTAAATTAATTGTTTACTTTATGTTAATGTTAAATTCTTTTATTTTTCGATGAACTTTGAATTTTTTTTCTTAAAGAAATATTAACTTTTGAAGTACACTGATTTCAGAAAGAAATTCTTTGTTCGGAATCCATTTGACGATCAATTTTTAATGTTTCTTCCGAATTCTGATTCTAATCTCGAGAAGAAATTTTTTGAGAGAATTTTATAGTCCCAGTTAATTTATAAACATTTAACTTTTCTATTAGCTAGAATTGATAATATTTCTGGGATGCAACTGTATTCTAAAAGCGAGTGGTTTCTTTTTTTTTTTCACTTAAGATTTTACGAGGAAACTTCTGAAGGAAGCCTGAAATACCAAATTGGCAATCAATGCCTTAACGTGTAATTATTGCATACTACTTATTTATTTAGTCATTTCATCTAACTATGATAAACTGATAAGAGAAACAGATCAGATTCATCGTTGCTATGCTGAATTGGAAGATGCAACTATTGCCAGCCTATCATCCACCTAATGACCCATATTTATTTCATCATGTTACGTAATACAATTATTATACACAATCAACTGACCCCCACCTTGTCGCTTCTGTTTCGTTCAAATTTGGAACCTCCCGAAATTTCTTTTTTTCTCATAAATATTTTGGTAATGCATTAGCAATAAATTGTGAAAACTCATTTTAAAAATGGAAGATTTGATTTTTCCATATAAAATTACTGTCTATATAGTTAATTTATCAATAAACGTAGTGGTGATAGAGATAATAATGATAACGGTAGTCCTACAATAATGAAGTTGACAATATTAAGTGATATGATAGCAACGAATAGTACAATGAAAAGGAGAACAGTAATATGTAAAAACTAGAAAGATAATAGGATAATCTGTCATTGGATCTTATCAGGTTTAGAATCTAATTAGTAAAACAATAAATGTCTCATTCCGAAACATTTGATAGATCATTAAGGAGTAGCTATGTATAACCTTTTTCCTCCTTAATAAATTTTATCTTTTTTTTTTAAGATTTTGTTTTCGTTTTTTGTTAATTATTGTCATCCATATCCTTCTCCTATGTTTGCTTGAGATATCTTATACTGACTTTACTTATGTTCTAGGCTTACTATTATATCGGAAAACTTCGTAAAATTCCGGTTCAAGACTAGTTGTATTATTTTCTGATTAGCCATAAGATTGCTATATTTATTTGGTCATGATAAGAAATTATTTGGAAATATTATGAATAAAAGTGATAAATGAAAGATCATCACAAAAGAGCAGAAATCACGATTTCTTAAACTTTAAAAACATCTAAATTCCAAAATTAGTACGCTTTAACTGTCAACTCACTTTAACAATGCAATTAAATATTTAAATAATTTGAATATTAACTTCATTTCCTTCTTTTAATCTCTCTTCGTTTTCTAAAATAATTCATCAATTATGTCATACTGAAACGTAATAAAAGTTGAGATTTGATAAGGCAAGTGATTGTAATTGTAATCGATATTACGGTACCATATCCCTTATCATTTCTAGTACTTACTGATGTAGGATGTCAAAAACCAAGAATATTTTGATTGGAACCTGCGGCATCGGAGCTGCTGCAATGTTTTGCTTAATTATTGCCATTGTGCATATTATCAATGAAATTCAAACGATAGAAAAAGAACTTGATGTCGAGATTGAGGCATTCAAGGTGATAATATTCGACATCGATCATTACAACTTTTTACTACTACGTGTAATATTTAGATTTAATTTTGGCTACCGTAAAAAATAAAGTGAATTGAATTGAATTACCTCGACTGACCATGGATTTACCGAGAAATCTCGAGGGAAGGAAGAAAAGCTTTGTAATAAATCCACTCTTTTATTACTTCCTAAATCAAGAATTCTAGCATTAATTTTATTCTAATAAATGCATATAACTCAAATATTTCATTATATTTAAAGGTAAAAGCAAACGATCTTTGGAGAGACATGATGTCGATGAATATTAGTTATCGTCAACGCCGTCAATATCCCAGTGGTAACAGTTTGGATGTTACTGGTCAATCATCCAAAGAGGGTTCAGAATTAACCGAAAGACCCAACGAATATTTCAGGGCATCTGATTCTTATGGCAACGAAGCACCGTTTAAAGGTAAGGAAGTTATAACTTGTTTAAATTGAGCCAAGAAAGGTTTAAGGTCAACAAGAGAATTAGTTCTAGTAATGGTAATACAAACCTAAATGCTACGAAAAGTAAAGATGCTATAGGGTCAAATACTCTTGGCTCACCTTTTGGAAAAGGTAATACCCGAACTATTATCAATTATCTTACCACCATTCTGGAACTCATTTCATTACCATTCTGATACTAAACGAGGTTACAAGTGAAGTTTTGTGGAATCTTGCTGGTAGTAAAGGAATGATTTCAAAGCTTATAGCTTATATCAATCCAAACTTTATTCTTATAATTACAGTATCGAAAATCATAATTTTGATTACAGCATGGTTAAATTCGAAATTCTTTAGAATGGTTCATTTATGGTGCGAAATGTTACCTTTTAACATATTATTAATGAATATTACAGGTGCAGAAGTGTACACGGAAGAATCAGGTGTGGTGGATAAGTCAATTTCAAGAGGTCACTTCTACTTTCATATATGCAATTGATGAAGTTTTTTGATAAATTTGGATTGGGGAAACAAAAAAAAAAATTGTTTACATGGAAAGATTTCATTTTGTTCTTTGTATATTACAAAAATACTGCCCTTTTTGTCGCATTTTCATTTGGCAATATTGAAGAATTGACGGATACTAAAATTGTTTTGATATATTTTAGGTGAAAATGTTGATAAGAAAAATTTGTGTCCAGCGGGACCACCGGGACCACCAGGTCCAGATGGTATGGACGGGTTAGATGGTATTGATGGAATGGTATTTTTCCTTTCATTGAATTTTTTTTCCAGTTCACTAAAAGAAGGAAAGAATAGAATGGGTAGTTGTGAAATGAGCGCATATGTCTGTGGAGGAAATCAATAAAGTTTTGTAATTATTGGAAAACTAGACTAATTTTATAATATTCAGCAAGCTCTGATAAAGAAAGCTACAAAGGAAATACAAAATTTAGGATGCTCCGCATGGTGCAGATATGGATGATGTACGAGGACAATTGCAGTATTACGAAAGATGTTTTTATTGTCCACCTGGCCCAATAGGTCAGCCAGGACCACCAGGTCGTCCTGGTCCTCGAGGGATGCGTGGTTCTCGCGGTCGAACGGGTGCAAATGGCCGCGATGGTCAACCGGGCCATCCAGGGCAGGTTGAAATTAGTTTTGCAGTTACCTAATATTTTTCGCTCTGATCCACTTTCGAGATTAAAACTTCGACTGATCAGTATATTCAATTAATTGCTCAGTTTTATTTATGGCTATAATATGTTTCAAATTTAGTAGAAATTAGAAATTCGTCATTGCAATGTCAAAATTTGAATTTATAGATGGGCGCAGATGGACCACCTGGACCAGTGGGTGAAGAGGGACCACAAGGAGAACTTGGTATTGATTCAGAGCAAATTGTAGGAGTTCCAGGTCCAAAAGGAGCTCCGGGTCCCATTGGTCCACCTGGTGAGGTAGGTGATGTAGGCAAACCTGGTCAACCGGGTCCTGAAGGGCCACCCGGAGAACGTGGACCTGCTGGTGAAAAAGGAGATGACGGTGAACAGGTAATGCATTGCCAACCATTTATTGATTAACCTAATTTTACATTTCCTGTCCACCAAGTTTTGTTTTTTTCCGGTTGATTCGACATTAAATCGCAGGATTAGAGCGACTTTTAGTTTTATTTATAGCAAATTTCTGATGAACTAGTAAAGTGAAAGTTCGTCAAGAATTTTTTTTAGACTTTAAATGTTAAAATAAATAAAATTTCATATTTTAGTTAAACTTACTTGACATATTTTAGGGTGACCAAGGCGACCCCGGCGAAGAAGGAATGCCAGGAAGTGACGCGGAATATTGTCCATGTCCCAGCAGAAGCAGAACTGTTAACAATCAACCAAATCAGAGTGGTAAAATAAACCAAGGGTATTCGTCACCTAGAGAATACAAATAATTTACGACGCTATGATAATATTAGCAGAAACAACAAATTTACTTCCCATATATTCGAATTAATTTAAATTAAACTCAACTTGATTTATTTAAAATTTCCCTTTTTTGACTGTCAAACATGGACATTCCAAGAAAGCAAATTTTTATGCAAATGATTATACAATCAAAAGATTATATTTTTCAATTAGTTTGTCGACCTTCGTAATTAGATCTCCAGCGGTTATCTTCACCTGACAATATTCGATTATGTTCAGCCAAACGATCAGCTGTTAGGCGCAGATGTCCGTTACTTTCTGAACTCAAAATATTTTAACTAAAATTGTTTCTAATAATTCATTCACGTGAGATTCTTCAAAAAGCATGGTCCTAGGCAAAGATCACATTGAAATAAATTTATTTTCAGTCAAAATTAAATTTTCAACCTTTTGGTAGCGATGAAGTAAGAATGCACGAATTACGTAATAAATGACAACTTCTGTCCACTTGTCTTACAATCCTTAAATATCGCCTTCTTCATAAAACAATACTAATTTTTGCATTATTTCAATTAAAATTAAAATTAAACTTGTTGCTTTCTCGGAAACAAAATATTTTCATCAGACTGTTACTGTTATACGAAATATGTGACATGAAAATAATAATGATTAAAGTCATTATATTTAAAATGTGCTTTTTTTGTGAGGCAAATTCCCTGGATAGTTCGGTGTTCCAGTCATTTTTCCATGGCGGTATTTTGTTACCGGGTATATTTGTGAATGAACTCTTGGAATGATTCACATTTTTCAACGGCTTATTTGATTTCAATCTTCCTTTAATGCGAAAGAAGAACAGCAAAACAATTGCAAAACATATACTCTGCAATATTTTCCATTATTATAAGTTTACTTCCATTCTTATTCATTGCACACTTAGTTACTAATTAATTAATCAGTGACTATATCGTTGCTAATTGATAAATAAACACTTATTTATAACTTATTGCATTAGTGAGAAGTGTAAATTGAATTTCGACATTTTGATCTTTTTTGGTGATAATGATAAATATTCTTCAAAATGTTTATTTTTTCTTTTTTTGGAAATAAACAGTCCTCAAATGAGCAATCCTCTTTGATGTGCTAATAATGCTTACATTGATTGCTAAGGAAAGGACAAATTCGGTGACAGACATGATCAACTGTGTGTCGAATATATCACCTGACCACCAGATTATTGCATAAGCTGTTGACAGGATAATTTGTGGTAATGCGGTGAAGAACCATGGCCATATAAAATTGATTCGCTTCTGAAAATGATGTGTTATTATTAAAAGATGTTGTGTCGCCATCATATTTCTGTGCTCTTTGTAAAGTTCTACGTGCTAGTTGAAATTTAACTCCATCTCACAGTCTTACTGTGAGAAAACATCTCACAGTAAGACTTAGTCTTCTATCATCCTGAATCATAACTCTCAGATGTTGGATGATGGTGACATGAACAAAAAGCTGTTCTTTGCGTTTCCTCAAAGCAACATATTATATCAATATAGTCTCTTATCAGTTTAATCCACTGATAAGCTAAGCTATCTGTAAAATGATGCCAGGTTGAATGAATATTTTGAGATGGTCTGAAAAAGGGAATGGAATATTGGAAGTTTGAAGTGATGTTTTCATTAACAAACAGAAAAAATGATCTGATAAGTTATTTCCTTTGTTCCCTATTAAAAAAATATTTTTATATGTATATTTAAATTTTTATATGGAAATTTTTTAAAACTATTTGAAATTTTAAATAATTAAATATATTACCGTAACAGCTCCATAGAATAGCATAACTGAGGGAATTAAATGCAGCAAAGCAACAATTAACAATGTAATTGCAAGCGCAAATAATGCTGAAATATTATCAAATATGATAAATATTTGCTTCCGTTATTCTTCATAGTTCACAATTCATTTAAAGAGAGAAATGAGAATGAATGTTAATTAATGCTAAACATAAAAGTTATCTAATAGGATAAAGTTCGCTACAACAAATTAGAACTAAATAGACTAGCAAAAATAACGAAGTATACTATTATCTTTTAAAGTTTACTAATAAATTAAAAATCATTCCTGAAATATTTGGAAATATTTTGTTCAATCAATGGATGCAAAATAATAGTACTTTCAGTTTAGAATAGTTACAAAAAATTAGATTTTATTTTAAATTTTCAGACTAAACCTCACAATCATATTGCAATTGTAGTATAAAAGTCAGAAATGCTACTTTTACTACAAAAAAAAAAATCTCAAAAAATTCATTCATTTGGTATGAAAGAAGAAATGAAATAAACAATATACAAGTAATTTCTTTTCAATTATTCTATAAAAGAAGAAATTAACCATTTATACGACGTCTCTCTGGAGTTTCTGTTAAAATACCGTACAATCCAGGAAAGCGAGCTTGGAAGCCATTATTGCTGAAATAAGGCGCAATTGACTGAACTTATTCAACTACATGACAGAGATTAGATGAATAAAAATAATCCCACTATTATTTCATACCGCTCTCTTTTAGAAATTTCCCCGCTTAACACTTCGAGAACCCATCAATTGTCATTGAAGATTAATAGTAGTAGTAGTAGTAGTAGTAATAGTGGTGGTAAAAGTTAAAATTCTTTGAGACAAAATAGAATGAATAATAATTACATGCAACAATGCAAAAGAAATAATTAAATGAGTAATCAAATATGCTAATTAATTTAGGAAACAATAAATAAGAAGGAAGTCTTTCTTAAATAATATTTAATCATTCTTATTTGTAATTTTAAAACTATTTGATATGAAAAAGAAAGTGAAAACAAACGTTCCATCGATAGGAATGTGGCGATTTTCGAATTCCCATTGTTGATTTTTAACATATTTCGTTTGCCATGCAAATATGGCAGTTTGTAAGATGGAATAAATCTGAAAATGTTATTCATTCTAAACGATAAGCCATTCTTTTCCTTTCATCGGAAATTGAAATTATAGTTGAATAGTTTGAGGAATCGATCGAGCAAATCTTTTTAATATCACTTTATTATAATGGATATTTAATATCACTTTATTATAGTTTATTACCTCGATTATTTTTTACACAAACTATATCAGTTATTAATTATCAATTTAATTACAATAAAATAATGATTTGATGGAGCAATTATTACTTGATAACGATTTAATGCTTACAATATTCCATAAAGCAATGGAAATTGTTGATTTATGCAGGCAATCCATTAGGTTAATCGATCGATCAATCAATCAATTAATTAACCAATCAATAATCATTGATGGTAGTTGATACTAAAAATATTTCACATATAAGCCTGCTGAAGCTATTTGTCACATGAAAATTGATACTTTCATGTATAACATACCTGCATCAACTAATTAATACTTCATATTGATCGTTGATAGGTAAGAGTAAAGTTATTGTCGTCAAGAATGTCGCATTCGAGTAAAGACATAACAATGAGTAAAATCATTGTTTCATTTTTTGATTTTGTAAACAAATCTGGCAGGCATACCAAGCGCTTTTTAAATACAATATCTAACATGAAAGTTTGTCGAAAGAGAGAAGGAAAGGGAGAGAGAGAGAGGGAGAGAGGGGAAGAGCAAACATGCAGAAGTTTATCAGGTAGGAAGACATAATCATTTCAATGAAGAGTGTACACTACTGGCTTTACTTTCATTATCATTCCTCTACTAGTATCTCTTTCATATTAAGCACTTTCGATTTCTTGAAATTTCAATTTTCAGTGGAAGAAGCCGATGCTTCTTATCATACCCCTTCCTCCCCTTATGCCTTTTCCGATTCATCTATCCGATATTTCTAAAAGCACAAGCAGCAGACTTTAATATCAGTTCGTCCTGTCGCCCGCTTTACCATCCCTATGGTTAGTACGGTATGGTTATAATTACCCCAATGGTTAGTATAAACTCAGGCCAAGTTTGCCTTGAGTTTAACAAGCAAAATCTGAAGAAAGACAATTGGAATTACTTTCTGTACTTCATCTTCCTCACACTTGTCCGATTTCTAGGAAATCACCGTTAATACCTCTCGCCTTCCTTCAATACAATCAGCAATTTCCTTCTGTTATCTATTTTCTTTCCCATTCAATTCTCCAAAAACCATTATTTCCTTTTTTGCTCAAATGGTTTCGAGAACTCTCAGTAGGACCAACAAGCATACATGCCAATGATGCACCGGGCTTATAAGCTGCTAAAATAACATAGGATTTTTCTTTCTTTTGGAGTATGACATTTTACGAGTAAGAAAGAGGGTAATCGGAACTGTCTAAATAGCCTGTACTTGAAATAATTTCGAGGCTATTAAAATTGTATTGAAAAAGTCAATAAAAAATTTTTATTGTGATAAAGAGAAGAAAGATGATTGGACAGAAAAACAGATCGACGTTTGCTTTACATAAAAGAATAGGGCACTGTGAATATACAGGAAAAAAGAGATACGTATGCATTTAGATTTTGATCTCCAAGGTAACACAGTGCTGATCACTAGTACATGGTGCATTGTATAATACAAACAAGCATTGCAAATAAAAAAAGTAAATAAATGATCACAATTTTAACACATCTTATTCTTATGGGCTGTATCAAATGGATCGAAATCAGGAAAAAAAAAGTAAAGTAATTAATTCTGCCTCTGCCTCAATGCTCTTCATTTATACATGATTTCCAAAAACCCCTGGAACATTTTGGAAATTTCGATATCCCACGATTGTAATAAGAGAACAGTAACTTTGAAAAGATCCATTACTTTCCTTAAAAATTCATCTACAAGAGATCTATATTTCTATCACTTGAAACCTATTTTTAATGCTTCTGTAACATAGTAAAATAGATAATGGAAGTTAACTTTCTCGCATCCATTTTCAAAAAATGATCACAAGAAATAATAAATAAAAAATGAAATAAATTCGCTTTTTAACAACAATAACCGATGCTCGTTACTACAGACCAATCTCAGAACAAAGAAACGAATCAATGCTTTACGTCTGAAAGAGACGTATCGGTAACTACATAGCATACGAACCACTTGGATACATCGGTGTTCCATAAGCATTCGTTGCTGATGAAGCACCAATGTAAGGACCGCCAGACACTGCTGCTCCGTATGTTCCAGGCATTTGTGGCACCGAACCTATCGATGCACCCCCCGGGAATGTCAACATTAATTGTGGTTCCACTGCAAAATATTTTATTTATTGTAAATTCAGCATTCATCTACACTAACAATTGGTCACTAGAATTTTCCAAGAAATACTGAGATAAAATCGACAATCGTCACACATAAATCTCTAGTAAGCTCCAGTAATAATTAAAGCTTCATCAACTCCCAAACACCTAGAAATAAGAAACTCGTTGCTCGAAACCCATATAAAACACTAACTCATGCTTCCATTTGGTTGCTGATTTCCTTGAACTTCTTCTTTTCTCTCTGCTTCAGCTCTTTCCAACTTCCCAATCTAAAAATACATTACTCCTTACTACCAGTGCTCAAAAAAGAACGAAACTTCAATAAGTGAACATACAAGCACTTAAATTATGTATCACTTATTAAACTGGTTATTAATTTACTAATCATTTTCCTACTGTCTTCATATAAGTTATATCTTGAAGTGTTAAGTTGCGGAATAAAACTCAGTAACCAAGTTCCTTACTAATAATTTATAGAAAAATACACTGCGAACAGGCAGAAATAAATTTCCAGTTTAGAAGGTCAATTTGCACTACACCGACAAAACTTGACTTCACATATTTAAAATCATCATTTTTCATTATCTTCGACAAAGGTTTTTCCACCTAACCAGTGAGTGTTAAGGTCAAATTAAACAATGTCAGTAGATAGTAGTAATCAGTACCGCTGACAAACTATTACCAACATGTTAATAATATAACTGTTTGAAGAATATGCACAGTTTTTATTAAACGTTTATGAATAATATATACCCTGCTATGATAATCGCGCATCACTTGAATCATGTAAGGCATCGCAAAGTCCATAATCTTGTGTTTCCATGCTAATTCCAATATAACATCTGGGTGCAATAAGTCATACATTTGATAAAGTGAAGCTGCAAAGCAATCGTGCAATTTATTTTCGAGGAAATACGCTAGCAATTCTTCAGCTATTTCAGGTTGTCGCGACTCCGCAGCATATTCCATTGCATCCTGAAATGTTAAGTTTTTAGGGTATTTAAAACCACAAACCTAATATTATCGAATCTGAACAGTTCAACTCAAACTACTGACTCACCTTGTACAATTTGTCCTTCTTGCAAAGCTCAACACTTTGCTTCCACCTATTGTTCCCCCTGTACAAATACGCAGATATGCGTCTAAACTCAAGCAATTCGTGTTTCTCAAGTTGTTGGGCCAGGGAAATATTATCAAAGTTGTCATAAGCATCAATAGAAGCGCGAAGGCCAGCATAATCCTCCTCATCAATGAGCACCTGATTTAAAGCCTCGTTAACCGACTTGTTATTTTGAGTTTGCACCTGACGTAAATAAGGTTTCACGAGAGGCAGCTGATTCACTGAAACCAAGCAAATAGACAAAGAATTAATATCACTTATATAAAAACATTACTACTTACGTTATTTCTAGTATTACTGATACTAAAATTAGCTACTAACAAATTCGACATAATATTTGGGCAATTAGAATTTCTCAAAGGACAAAAAACAAACACTTGGCAAAGAATGATACAGTTCGTGAATGATCAAGTCGTGGCGTTAACACAAGAAGTAAATCATTCAACAGCATCGGCTTATAATCCAAATAGAATTGCATTGCCTTATAATATAGTTCAATATTTGCTACCTATAAAAACAACTATAATGATTCCTTTCTTTTTCACAGAATAATTTGAATTCTACAAAAACAGTAATAGAAATTGAAATGCATCACATATCAATTACCTTAGTAATTACTTCCTTGAAATGTTGTTCTCGCCATGCTTCCGCTGGATGTTGCATCATCGTTTGAGCAGCGTTATCGTATTCTTCGTATTTATCATAAAGAAAGACAAGTTCGGACCACAAATGAGCTTGTTCCGCAGCACGCAAAACCTAAAATGCAATAAAATTTTTTCCTCAATTAAGAAAAAAAATGTGGATTAACCTAGAGCAGCTAACGATATTCCACTTACAACTGATGGGAAAAAAGTTCCCGTTTTTGTTCCTTCTTCATTGAAGTGAATTGAACAAGTTCAAATCGAAAAACCAGAAATAAGGAAAACACAAATCCACCTTCGGTATATTTACTCGACTCCAGAATAGTTCAAGATGCTCACGCATTTTCTCTGCTTTATATTTACTGTAAAGAATTGCCAATTCAGTAAACATTCCCATATGTGCTCTTTCCAAACCCAATGCTGCTTCTAACAGACCAATTAATTCTTCAAAGTATCCTCGTTCCTAAAATAATCCACCCATTAATATATCTAAGAAAGCAATGGCTTTTAGACAGCAGGTGTTCCTTTTCCTTTTTTAACTCTTTAATCCAAAAAAAAAAACACAGAAATCTAGAACAGAAATTAAAATATATCTTAAAATTTCATAACATTTAAAATACAGCAATAGAAAAATAAAAACCTACAGTAAATGCAAACCTGATAGTAATTGATTAATTCCTCCAGCTCATCTGCATGTACGACAATGTGAAGGCCGCACATCTGTGCCAAACGAAATTCTTCGTTATCAACGCAAGCAAAACAAACCTGAATAATTCAGTAAATCCAAATTTGCAAACGCATTAAAATCTATCAGTCCAAGACAGATGCATCTTTGTTTTGTGTCTTTTTACATTTTGCGAAATTTAATTACAGCATTACTACTAATTGTTAGCAAATCGTTTTGTATTCAAATTCAGTTGACAAGGAACTAATGTTTTCTGCGCCGAATATATACTTAATCCGTTTGTTAATTAGTAACATATTGATATCCATTCCATCTCTAATTCGATAATTAACAAGCATAATGTATAAAAGCATCGAATATTATATTATACATAAACTTACTTGTTTCCATGTTTTCGTAGAATTTGCTTTACGAGCAGCATCAACTGCACCTTGAAATTCGTTAAGCCGAACAAGTGTGACCGATAATTTAGCAAAATTCGATATATTGTTATGAAGAATTTTGGCTGCTTCGTACATCCCGCTCTCAAAACATCGATCACCTATCTGCTGAATCTGAGCATGATTAGGCCCCGAAATGAACTCCTCCAGGTCAGCAAGACGATTTGTTTTCGCGTAAGCATAGACAAGTTCTGTTTCTATATATGATTCCCTCGATTTTTTTCGTGCCATCTGCAAATATCGAACCAAATCCTCCCAGTTTCCTGAAACAGTTAATGTTACTGGTTGCGTGGATTGAGCTGTCTCATAATTACGAAACTACCAGAAAGCATTCGATCAAAGTATTAAATCAAAAATCTATATTAATAAATAAACGCTAACCAGTCTCAGAACATTTGCTCACAACTTCCATAT